CCTGTGTCAAAATGTGTTTACAGGTTTGTAAAAAGTGTTGCAGAATTGTAAACGTGCAAATCCTAAAATGTTTTTGTATTTTTGGTACTTTTTAAATAAGGTGTGATTAAAAAGGCTAAGAGTAAGAAGGACACACGTGTAAGAGTGATTATAGTTTTTATTGTTGATATCTACAGAAATAGTGTATTTAATTCAAAATGATAATTTGACCAAAATTTGCCTTTATTTCTACAATATGAAAATTGCCACAGGCTATATTGCAATTTTGATAACATTTAGTATATTTGTGCAGCTATAGCTGCTGACAATGGTTTTTTTTGTTCTTACAATTTAAAAAAGCCAAGACAGAAAAACATTTTTCTGCATGTTCCAAATTCAGACCAGAATAAAACTTAAGTTTCATATCAGAAACATTACTCCTCAAGTCTTTACTGGGTCCCCCATTTTCAACCCCATGAGCCCTTCAAATCAGAGCTTCGTTTGTTTGGTTCAGCTGTGGACACCAGATCCCCTCTGGTCTCATCAAAAACAGGTTTTCATTTCTGACCAGCGATGTCTGGGGTGTTCTGGTGTGCCGCCCTGAATTTAGAAACCTCAGAATACATGGTGAACATTCCCCCTACTGCCTTTCTCAGAAACGGCCTAAAAACAGGCAATATACACCTTCAATACGGCCTCTCATAGAGAGATGGCAATATAATACATATGTGTCAAATACACAGCGTCTTCGTTGCTTTCTTCTGCACATTCTGTCGTGAGATCACTGGGATTTATAGTCATCAGCGGTCCATCAGCATTGCAGTGGGCATGCGAGAGGCACCTGATGTAATCATAGCTCTTTGAGTAGACATTCTCTAAAGCAATAATGAAAGGGCGACAGCATATAGAGTATAAAATAGGATGAAGCGGCAGGCAGCTGCATTAAAGTCTGATGACTGAAACAGTGGGGATCACGGCAGACTATCTGAAAGCAACTGCACAGTCGCAAAAACAGGTTATTAATTTGTCAAAAGCTAGACAATATGTCGGATCCCGCTGGACTTTGTTTAAGGCCTAATTGCTTGTGGAATAACAATCAAACAATTCCTAAGCAAATATGGAAACGTCAAAGCCCTCTAATCAGAACCTCAAACAGACGGTCCACATTGGGGACGGTAAAGGCCAGAATGGCATTGAAGATAAATTGCCTTAAAAAAAAAAAAAAAAAAATAAAAAAACTTTAACACAGAAACACAAGAGCTATTAAAGAAGCCCTTGAAGGAAATCTGCAGAAAGCAGAATTGTCAACAATATGCGGTTTAAGGATACATACAGACTGATTTCTGTAGCAAAAAACAATCTATGAAAAGATAAAGCTTAACCCAACAGATCAAAGTAAACTGTATCAAGTGGCAATAAACACTGTGGCAAACAACACTGTTCCTGTGATGCAGGGTGGATCTTTTCTTTATCACTGATACAATCAAAAAGTAGAATGCGTGTACATGCAGTAGCTTGCCTAGCATAGAAGTTCAAATACTAGTTAATGACATGTTAAAGTACTCCTCTAATGTTGAAACAATGTTTCTGAAACCTGTAGCTCTACTAACAAGTAATAATTTAACTATGACAAAAGCAGCCTGAAAATGAAGAATGCCTGAAATAATTGAATGAGAAAGGGTCAATTCCAAAATTTAAATAACATAATTAAATTGTGAAGAAGAATCACCTGTCAAATATTCCATCCCAGACACACACAGCTAGAGTTTGGCTAATGGACAATGTTTGGGCAGCTTGCCTGAATGTTTTTAAATCGCTCAATATCATATTGAACTTGTGCTCCTTGTGACACTCTGCGGTGGTTAAAACTTCACACTTTGCCTGGATAAGAAAAGAGGCTCTTGTAAAGGTTTGTCCTCCTTTTCCTTTGCGTTTCATTTTGTGTATTGCTGCATATATCACTACGTCGCACTAAATCCGTCCCATGTGTATTATTACACTTTTACAGCATGCAGCATGTTCCCAGGCTAAGAACTCCAATGGTGAGTCAGCATTAAGGCCTCAGGGTTCTGCAGAAAGTCAATTGGTTTTCTTAGATAAGCTAAACTTTAAAGGGTTCGCCAGATTGAATATTTATGTTATTGCATTTATCCATTTTGAGAATTTCTGACTTTGAATGTGCTGCTGATGTTGCAATGTGTAATAAGGATGTTATATGGTGATTTTGGAGGGAAACTATATCAAAGATAATTTTGTTTATGTATCAAGTAAATGTGTATTTGCTTGCATTAGCCACGCTACACAGCACTATATGTAGATAGTAAGTGATTACCGGCGTCTCGGTCACACAAAACCTCTTGCCTTTTATTTTGATAGCCAATTTGACAGATTAGAACAGACACACAACCAGTGGGATCAGCTGAACTGCTGTGGCTCAACGCACTATTTTTGCTGAGAGAAAAAATAGGCAACACATGTTTAATCTCTAGATGGACCACCTGCAGACGAGCTGTGCCGACTAACCCCTGTGTATTTTGTACAGTCATGGTCCAACAGTCTGCGTATCTTCAAATGTGTGTGTTAAGATGTCAAATGTTACGTCAGCATTGGCTTGTTTCAAAGATGGTAATTATTTTAAGTATAACGTTATTTTAGTTTCAGTGAAATAAAAAAATAAAAATCAGTAAATATGTGAAAATTACATAGTTCAATTTATTGATTAAGTCAAGTTGCTCAGCTATGCAGTTCTTTGATACACAACACAACAGCAGGCCTGTTACTGCTCATTCTGAATGAATCACATGACATTAAAATGTGAAGGCTCCTGTAGTTCTATGACTCATTTTCATTCTACCAATGAGCCAATAAATACGTATTTTTCTTTTTTCTTCATTACGGTTCTGTTTTTTCAATCCCTTCATTCAGAAAGTGTTAAAGAATAAAACAGTAGTCCACTCAGGCATCTGAATTTAAGAACTTAACTTTATAAACACAGCTCTTCCAGGTTGACATGGTAGTGGACAGGGCGTGTAGCTTAGCAAAGGGTCAATTCCTTATTGTTTGATGCAAAACATGATCTTTCTCAAATTAATCTTTCTCTTTCTCAAATTAATCTGAACCTAATAAATAAAATTTTCTGATTATTTTGAGGCTAAGAATACGCTCACCCCTTGTTGAAGAATGAGTAACAAGGCCTTAACGGATGTACTATTGGGGTTTTCCTCAGAAAATGAATCTACAACCCAGAGAAGCCGGCCGGGATGTCGAGTTAGCACCTCGTGGCGGCTTTCTGTGGTTCCCCACGAGTGGAATGACAGCAACGCGGCATGACATTTCATCAATAAAAGGAGGGTCGGCTGAGGGGGTTTCATTTCTAATCCAGCTGGTTTATGTGGGCTCAGGCTTACTCAAAAGCCTATTCAGATGCATTAGACGTATAGCATGAGGAAGGACAAGCATGACACAACACTGGCACCGTTTGGACTTAATAGTAGATTCTATATCCTGTTGAAAAAGGACCTGTCTGAAGTGTCAAAGCCTGTATTTCCATTTATTATTCAATCCACGAGGTGAAATATCACTAGAGGAAACGGATGGACCGGTTACATAAAATTCAAAATTAGAACGCCTTTGAGACACAAGATGTAGTTCTGTTAGTGGTGAAGTATGTTTATCGCATTGACTCATAAGCCAGAAAACAACATTTTTGGAAACAATGACATATGAGGTAAGCCTGTGTTGGTAGCAAAATTAAAACGGCTTTAATGTTTGTTCAAGATCCATTTTAAGAAATATCAAACTCAATTTACCAGACATTGTCAGACAGCCTTTCTCCAGCCTCAGCTGTTGGGCAAGGCTTTGCTTTGAGCTGAATGCTAATATTAGCATGCTAGCATTTTGTCTTAGGTGTCAGGTTAGCTTGCTTACTGTTAGCATAGCGTTATATGCTTGGGTTTCACACGTTAGTGGCTTAGGTGACAATTCATCTTGTAGAGCAGATAAAGAAATTGAAGATTTCTGTTGCCGGTGCCAAAAGAAAAGTCTGATTTGCTGAGTGAACATGTCAGGCTGCTAATGGGACAACGACAACAACGAACGGGTGTCCACAGAGAAAACATAACAGGAATTGATTACCGCCCATAAAGGAAAATAGATCAGCAACTGCAAAAACAAACTGTGTAAAAGACAACCATGTTTATGTTTATTGCCTGCTGTGGTGACATATTTTATCTACTACATACTAAAAGTGGTATGAATGTTAAAGACAGATTGCGTTTGACTTGTTGTGCACACTGGTACTTGACCTTGAGAACATTAATTCCTTGTTCTTTAATTGACATTCCCTTTCCGGAGTCACAAATGCCTCAAAGCCGAGACAAGGACAGCTTATACCACATAAATGCCATGACCTTGATTATGTTACATAAGAGGAACACAGCAGACAAGGGGATAAGTACCTTGTCCAAAACGTGTGATCTCGGAGTTTGTTTTCGACAACATACTCTGTCAGTTCAATGAAGGGTAACACTTGAAAGAGAACACCACATTCTGTTATTAGCTTTACAGTCCAGATTCTGCCACGTTACCTGCTAGTCACCAAAAAAAGAAATGACCATAGTTTAAGCAGCTCTTAATGCTTCATGTTTCCATAACAGCCAAGTGTAACAGCTCAAACTCTAATGTATCCTTTGAACTCATTTGCCTTTACTCACACCAATTAACACTCTACATAACCGGCAGTGAAAGCACCACTTACCCCATGGCAGTTCAAGGAGTATGGCATTTGTAATGTGGTATCTGAACGCATCAGATAGCAGACAAATCAAATGAACTCTGCATTTGTTTTCTTGTCAGCAACTGTTCTGTGAAAGATGAGCACGCTGTCATCGGTAATTAGTGCGGTAAGACACAAACTTCACCACTAACTCGTCATTGGTAGCCCTTCCCTCTCGCTGGCCGAGGTTATTCATCCCTCCTTACATCATGCAGTGCCCACACCACCACCCGCCCCTTAATAATAACCACCCGGCTTTGAGCATCCACCTGCCTAGAGAGAAGAAGCCTCTCTTTGACAGTCACTGTCTAGGCAACCAGCTTGGCAGCTAAACCTAACGCGTCTTCCCGAAGGATTCAATATCCAGTAAAACCCAGACAGCGCAGGTTTATACCTTCTGCAAAGCCGTCTCAGTGGGAGTGAGGACAGAGCTGCGGACAGGTAAACCACTTTCCTCATTCTTTGTTTGTCTGTGTTCTTGTGTGACCCAGGGGTGCGTCCTGACCCTCGGTCAGCCTTGGGTCATGAGCTCCAGGTGGATTATGGTTCATGAAACTATAGTAAAAGGAGATTTACTAGGGGGGGTGACAGGATGCTCTTGAGTGGAATCTACTTCGAGGTCTGGATCTAAGAGTTGACTTTCACTCCATGAAAGTGCTTGTTTGACGGCACTGTCGGGTATGAAGAAATTTTGCTCTGTGCTTTTACTTTTTCTTCTGCATCTGTGATAAAAAACGAGCCAGTTATACAAGGGATGTCGTTACCATTGTAAGTGTCCATGTAACCAAAGAACGGATGTTCAGCTGCAATGAGAAAAAAAACTCTTTCTGTGTCTCAGCCCCCTCTTCTCTCCATATTGGCTTTTTAATGCTTTTTGTTAATTGTTTTGACTGTACTTTTAATACGCTGATGTTTTGGGAGCATTACATTCCGAGAATTCCACCTCTGAAAATTGAGTTAGCAGATGCCATGCAATGATGCCTGGTGCAACCATATGAAGGTATTACGGGGTTACAGCTAACTATAGCTTGGGAGCTGAGCGCCATCAGTGTTTGTTGTGCATTCAACATGACTTGGCCTCTGGATGACCGCCATCTTAATGTTTGCAAATCCTCAGATCGCTCCCTTAAAAGGATTTGTTATTGTCACGCATAAAGAAACTCAAGGTGACACTACATGTCAATCTTCTGTATTGTTGAACAAAGATGTGGCACATACTGAGGAACATAAAACGCATAGTTTATGTTATAAGATAAATACTAAGTAATATAAGTTTATGTATATAAATATACAGGTTTTTCCAAATAAGATGCCTGATGTTGGTGTTAATGTTTGCATTCTGTTCACAGGTTGCCCTTCTCACGGTTATAGCTCGCCAAAATGTGGAAAACAGCGAAGAACAAAGAACCCACTAGCAACAGACGATGTACAGTATTGTCATTCACCTCCTTCTGCACATCTTTTTTATGCCTACTTTTGTCCCATTTTACTAACTCATGTCCATCTTTTGCCAACAAAGTGGTGCCACAGCAGATATTAGCTTCTCATTTGCCTTCACTGTAATAAAACAAAAATACTGTAGGCCCTGCTGTGTTGTATAGAAAAAACAAGAACCTTTAGGGAGAAAATCATAAATATCTAACAAACAGTGAAAACATTGTCCATAACAGTATTTTCCAGTGATTATCTGGAATGTAAGCAAACATTAGTCTTGGCGAGATAAAACCATATTCAATTGCCGTCTACAACGCACTAAATTATGTGGAAGTCAATTCACCCCCCTAAGTGGAGCAAACTGAGCTGTAACTAATGCTGCCAAAACAGAGCGTATCGCTCGAGTCAAAAACAACTCGGAGGTTAACAAAGAACTTGATGTTGCATTCAGTGGAGATTAGTACAGCTTCAAACACTTTGAAACATGAAGGGTAATGCTGAGGACACAAATGTCTGCCACTAAAGTCTTTATTATGTTTGTATTCATATTAAAGGGGTATTCGTCGTTTACTGTTGAAAACAACGGTTACTGCATCTTTCTAGATGAAAGTCAGTTTAACACTTTCTCTGCTACCAACATTTAGAACGATTTTTATGAGGCAGCACTAATCAATATTTTTATAATCATGTATCAGATAAAGACATGAAGATTGTGTCAATGTGAAGGGATAGTAATGAAACTTAACAGGGCTTTACCAAAATATGCATTTATTTATGGTTTTAAGTATCTCACTTATTTCAGCTTCACTTTCATTGTGTTATGTTAGGTTGCAGCGGACAGTAAATAAACAAAAAATCAAACGACATTTGGAGAATAGCTAGTGAGTTGTTGGAAACTAAAAACGGTTATTAAATCTCGTTTCACTTTAACGGTTATAAAACATGTTATTGCTGGTTGAAAAATTTATATTTGTGCATTGTCAGTTTTCATCTGTAAAGCGCAAGGAATGTAAAAAAAACTTCAGACACATGCTGCACAGGATCTCCATCAGAATTATGCAACATGTATTATAACATGCCCCAATAATAAGCACTTCAAAAGATGTTCTCAGTCAAACTTCAGTGATCCACTGAGGATGAGAAAAAAACATCCCTGGATTAAGGTCGCCTGCCTTCTGCCCTTTGCGGAGAGCCTCCCAGTGCTTCAGTTTATTCAGGCCTTTCCTTTTCCACATTATGGCCGACTGGGTCACTTCCAGCCTCTTCCTCCACTGTTTATTTTGGGCTCTCACTCAATTACTTCTGTCTCACTCCCTCAAACATTTCTCTCTCTCTATCATCTATCCATGACATCCATCTAGAAAATAAAAAAAGTAAATTGATGCTTCACGTACAGTATAGATAAATATATCCACTTCATATCCGACAGCCATAGCGTAGCATTCACTCCTATTAACTGATCTACTGTAACTTCTTTCCCCCCCAGGTTTCTCCATCGTCCATCAATACATTCAGCGTTTTAATGAAGTGTCTGGCAGCAAGTCAGGTGAAATAATAGAGAATGTCTCCTTGAACTGCTCTACGGTTTGAAAACAATTCAAGGCAGTATCTCTTATTAGGAATAATGGAATTTATGTTGAATAATATATTGGGTATTATTGAATACCGTGCCCTGCCTTTGGACTGATAACATATCTGTTTACTGCATTGCCAAATCTGTCGCCTATGTTTGGCAGGGTGCCTTTCACCTATTTCAATCCTTGTCATAATAACCTTTAATCCATGGATTAATGTTGTGCTCCATCGACTCCCGTGTGATCCTCTATCTTTGCACATTCAAAGCCTGATAAAGTGTTCAGCTGCAATGCACGTTGGCAGACGATCACAATGTGGAAGTCATGCACTGATGTTTTTGAGATGCTTGAGGGAATGAATCTGTCGTGTTTTCAACTAAATAACATATTTCCATCATTCAGTGAGAATCTGAGAAAAATACATATCCATCACCACAGCATCCCTGGGAAAACATTTGACACTCCTGACATCTGCTGGTAGCAAACAATAAGTAAGTCTAGGCAGGGAAAGGCCAATTTGCTGAGGTCTGTAGAGTCCCAGAAAAACTGAACGTTCTCCGTGTTTGCTTCGGACTCTGGGAGCAGAGATTTGACCTTTCCCATGCAACCCGGGGGGTCGGATGTTTTGTAAGATAGCAACAGGACAGACATGTATTGTGTCCCTAAACCACTCAGCCCTCAACCACTCAGTGGTCTCAGTGAGGACTCAAGCTGCAGTTGTCTGACTGTGAACACACCATTACAATGGTCCAGTCTACTGAAGATGAAAGTTTTTCCAAATGCTGTTGAGACATAAGTCCTCAAAACCTTGATATATTATAGTTTAGGCCTATTAACAAAAGCAGCATTCCCCACCTGAACATAATATCTTTCTATTACACTTGTGTTTGTTTTTGATTACAGGTTATAAAGTACTTTGCTCATAATTAACCGTTTATTTTCATATATGCCGGCTTTGTGTAGCTGTCATCCGGATAAAATCCATGACTCCTGGAGTAATGATTACGCAGTATGTAATAAACATACCGGAGGGGAAAAGCACCCCAGATTTTGAGAGCACACCGGTGCCAGAAAATATCAAAGAAGGTGGGTTTTGTTATAACCAGTAGAAAAACTGAAATATTTATGCTGTTATCCTAAAAAAGATGTGACAATAAATCAAAGAAAGGTTGATGGGTTAGAATGCATAGCACTATTCTCGAATATTTGTTAATGATATGAAAATAAAGATGCAGTATTTTCATGAATCCTCCAGGGAACATGGCCATTTTTAAAGTTGTGGTGAAAGGGGATCCAAAACCGGAAGTGTCATGGAGAAGAGCTAAAGGGCCCGTTACAGACAAGAAGAAATTTCACAGTAAATATGATGAATCAACTGGAGAACATATATTAGAGGTGAGTAACTAAATGACCACACCTTTGAACAGTTTAATATCACAGTAAAACAGAATGAACAGTAAGGCTGTAATAAAATACGTAAATTCAATGTACATCTGATGAATTGCTATTATCTCGCATCATTGGTTTTTCTAGATTGTCAAAGTGTCTGGTGCGGAAACGGATACATACAAATGCTACGCTGCCAACGAATATGGAAAAGCTGTCTGCAAAACGACTTTAACTGTGATTGAGGGTGAGAGTGAAGGCAATAGTCGCTAACTAGCATTGTAATTCCCCTCAACATGTTTTCATTTGAAAGAAAGTTATTTTTGTGTATTTAATCATTTAAAGAAAAACTAGAGTTTTAAAAGCTTTATCTGACAAACACTAAGAAATTGGAGTTGAATTTCCTGCTTTCAGCCTCGAACCATCCCTCAGACTTCAGAAAATTGCTTCGGAGAAGGTAAGACAACATAAACGACAGCAAAATATCTTGTTAGATATTTGAATAAGTGTGAAAATTGAATCATATATTCTTGTCTGGCTAAACTATTTTTCAACATTTGCTTTAGTAAGGAAAAACCCGGAGGGGAAAGTGATGAAAGATTCTGGCAGGCAATGCTGAAAGCTGATAAGAAAGACTACGAGCGCATCTGTACTGAGTTTGGTGTCTCAGGCTTACATTTGATTCTCAAGAAGCTGGAAGAAAAGAAGAAGGAGAGGGCGCAAAATAACTACAAGGTAAAAACAGTCGGCTCTTAAAAGAGAGCCATTTCACAGAGGAGCACCTTTTATTGTTCGCTGCGATGAGTTGATAGTTCGAAAGGCATTTGAAATATTTACTCGTTCATGTCAGAAAACAAGCATATATTTTAAAAAAGAAGAAGAGAAAGATCGCTGTGCTTCGTTAAAGCTAGAAATTGAGGTTAATGCTGCACCATGAGCTGATTAATATCTCTTCAGCTGCTCATTTCTTTTCCATTTTCTGCTCCACCAAAGGACTGTACGGCTTCTGTGCTTGCTAAACCTGCACAAATGAGACAAAATGGTCTAGTTCTTGAGGGTCTCACAAACGTTGAAATGCTCTCCTAAATGGGCTGCGAAGCAAATGGAATCTCAGCACTCTTCTGCTATTTGCATTAATATTGTAATGTGTATTTTTTCCACACATTTTCCCCTTTCTATGCAGATGAGCCTCATGCAAAAACTAAAACAGAAAATAAACCTGCCATAACCTTTTTTTTAAACAACTATTTATTCCTTCTCCCACAACAAAACAAAGGTAGATCAAAAAGAAGCACTCTGCTTCAGAGATGTATGGGTGTCCTTACAGTGTGATATCATAACTGCAATAACTTTAAGAATCGGACCATGAGCCTAAGAAGATAGTCGTTGCACTGTTTTCACAATACCTCCTTTGAGAGTTTGAATTGTATATTAACCTCCTATTCCCTTAAGGATGTTTCACTCAGAACACTATACATAGGCCTCTAACATTGACACACTGAGGCAAAGTGCAATGGCAGTGCACTCTGACAACAATACCGCTGTATTCTTCTAAATTATATGGATGCACTTTATCTGGCAGTGATAATACAGAATGTGTCCTGTGCAACTTGGTAGGATGGTACGACTGCATATGATGAAAATGGAACGGAGGACCACAGCCTGTCGAGTGGTGGGAGGACGAAAAATTCTAATCTCAAAGTGATGCAAAAGAGCACGGAGCTCCATCGGGAGGAGGAAGAGGTCCATCTCCTCAACACAGGGCTGGATCTGACGGATGAAGAGGCCATGCTACTTTCTACAGAATTTATACGTATGTGCTGGAACGCTGTTTAGGATTAAACGTTTTCTAAACATCCGTCATGAGTGCAGGTTAGAAGTGTCTTTGAGGTCCGTTTTGCGAGAGCGAGATTACTTTTTTTAAAAACAGTTTGTGAGACAGCAGTGTTTTTTCAAACAAATATTGAAAAGGTCCTGCAAAAGTAAAATGATTTCCCCACTTAATCTATAATGATGTCACTCCACGCTGCAGTTGTATGTGCAGGTTTCTTATGGTTCAGCAGTGGTAAACACAAACAGAATATCACTCATTACTATCACATTAATTGAAGTAGCTTTGTGTTCCAAAACAAATCGTTTCGTGTTGCTTTTACAGTTTCCACTGTGGACTTTGTCATCAAAATTCAGGAGCTTAAAGCTCAAGAAGGAGACAATGTCCTCTTTGCGTGCGTCCTTACCCACCCACTGCCCAAGATCACATGGACGGGCAAGGGCATCACCCTAGAGGAGGGAGAGAAGTACAGCATCACCGTGTCGGACCACAAACTCATCCACCGACTGCTGATTAAAGACTGCGACCCGCTGGACCAAGGCATCTATTCAGCCGGGGCTGGCGTTACGTCCTGCAGTGCCTGGCTGCTTGTTCAAGGTAACACCTAACGGCAAAATGCCTCAATAACCAATTTGTCAGCGTGTGCTGAAGTGATCCTAATTGCAGTCATCATTTTGAGTTAGGATTCCCACAAATAAAAAAATAGGTGACTCATGTGTCACTTTTGTTGTGTTTTATGTCCTCTAAGCTGAGAGTGACCCTGCTTCCGCTGGGATGAGGAGAGCTCGTAAAACTACCGTGGCGAGTGGAACACCGATCGACCTTGAGAAGGTGGCCGCAGAGCAACAAATTAAAAAACGAGAGGAGATGGAGAAGATTTTAGCAGCGGTAAAAGCAAAACACAGAGAAGGACAAGTGGCAGCCATGGTCAAAAAGTCTAAAGGAAATGGCATGGACACTACTTTGGACCACTCGGGGGGTGTAACGCGAGCAGGAGGGAAGCGTCTTGGTAACCCAAAGAACAAGAAACGCATTCGATCGGGTCAAATGGATTTTGACAAGGTAACAGGTAAAGTCGATCTATGCTACATCTATCGTGTGAATAGCCAGTGGGGGTTAGAATATGTTCACAAACAAAACATGCTATTTTTCTTTTCCAATATATTATGATAGGAGTGGATGAATGCATAACATGATTAGATCTCAGCTAAATTATGTCTTTATTCTTAGTGCTTGGGTTAAATGTGATCACAATCACATTTTATAAATCTTAAGAATCTTGATAAGCAGTCAGCTCAATCAGTATCTAATTGTTTGGGCCTAATTTTATGTTTAAAGATTTTGTTCCATGGTTTCATTGTGATTATTTAAGTTTTAAATCAAACTTAAATTACAGCTTAAATATAAACCGCCGAACAGGTAATGTAAATAGAATGTTAGCTGAAGTGGAGTCATCTAAAAGAGTTCCCACACAACAAACCTGATTAACATTCCTCTGACAGGTCAACGCTCAATCATTCTACTATAATTGACACTCCGCAGATAAAAATGAAGGAGATTCTGAAGACGATGATGACTTTACCGGATCTGTCAATAAGTCAAGAAACAGAAAGCACGGTCGAAATGGAGAACATGAACAAACTGGTAAGATTACATGGCGAAACTATGCTGCGTGATAGTCATATCTATATGAATGATCTATTGCTTTCATTGACAACTCTCTTTTTGAGTCCAGTTAACATGCCTACTTATTGTCTTAACAATATTGATTCCTCTGGTAGAGTCAGACCAGACTGAGGGATCAGCCGAAAGTCAAAATGATGTAGCAGATTGTGATGGAAATGAAGACGCTAGAGGCCAAAAGCACACAAAGAAGGCTCACCGGAAACAACGTACATCTGGTAGTAAAGAACAGGCAACATATTGACTGCATGGAGGAAGTTGCCAGCTCATGATTGGTCACGCTTGTCACACACATTTAACTACTGAGAGAAGCAACAGCCTTAATTGATGCAATTCATCATTTTCTGGGTACAATTAATGTACAATTTTGACCTTGACTTTTAATTTGTTGATAACGTAATATCAAAGCTTTGAATGTCTGCAAAGACACTCTAGTTGACCCTAAGGAGACGAAGGTACTGTACTTGTATTTACTCCTTTCATTTGGGGTGATGTGATTTGACCCAAACAATGAAAATTAACTGAAAGTCCTTTGATATTTCAAATACAACAAGAATAAGTGAGCATGTGGAATATTACAAACGGGGCTATTTTTTATTGCCTGTATTGTAGTTTTAAATGTTAGTGAAATCCACCCACCACTATATGAGCTTGTGTAGTAGAATGGTGGCACAGCTCTTGGGATATAATTAAGTCTTTAGCTCTTGTTGCTCTCCCTATAGGGCAAGATCCAAATGAACTAGCGAGTGACGATGAAGCAAGTTACAGTGACGAGAGTGAGGACTCTCCTGGCCAGCACAAGCGTTCACGTTGTTCAAAGCAAAGCAAGAAGCTAAAGAAAGTCAATGGTAAGTGACCACAAGCGGTGCATTACAACATGGAAGTGTAGTGTGAGCCAATGGACGGAAAATCTAAGTTTCTGATGGTTTTGCTCTATGTAGCAATTAATATTGTTCCACAACATGTTGTATGAGAAGAATCATTTCTATACTTCAATTCATGGTTATTGCACCATGAACAACAGGAGAGCAAATTATTGGTTGTTATTAATGACCCTATGAACAACCCGCAACTTTATTAATGTATTGGATTTGTCATGGATTTAAATTTGACTTTCCAAAAAAGGTGAAATGACATGTCCTGAAGAACACAGTGGGTGTGACGAGACTGAAGGTTTCACTGGCGCAGCGAGACAGTCAAGGCGTAAAAGACGAGGACCGCTGATAGAAGATGTGGTGATTGGCAAGTATCCTTAAAGGTGTCACGACTGAATCAGAGGCTCCAACATCACATCCAACAAATACACTTGCTCGTTATATGTATACCTTGTCATGCTAGCACGCTTTAAAGACCGTAATGGTTTTCATAGTGTGCTTTATATGCATAGAATACTTTACAGTAACTTAAGATCTTGGAACTGCAGTCAAACCATGAACTTCATAACTGATACTCATTTCTTAACCATAGCTGCATGTGAAACAGGATTTGCTACATTGGCAGGACACCTCCCTAGAGAAATACATTACAAGGCAAACATTTTTTTTTAAATCTTCACTAATAATATGTATATTACAGTGTATGATTTATTTTTGCTCCAAAATAGAAAATTTGACATTAAATAAAGAAAAGTTGTTATATTGTAGCATAACAAACAATAGAAATCCCTACTAATAGGACATGTTAAAAGAACTTTGTATTTCTATCATTGTTAAATAGGTCTGATTTTGGATGCAATTCAAAATAGTCCCAGTTAACTGTTTTTTGTGTGTGTGCGTTAGATCCAGGGGTTCATTTCATCTGTGGTTTGTCTGATGTCAATGCCGTCATCAATGAGACTGCAGAGTTAACATGTAAACTCAGCAGTGAAGATTGTGAGGGAGCCTGGTTCAGAGACGGCAAAAAGGTCAGTCGTAAAGGTCAAACTCTTCTTTCGTACTATATACTGTAGGTATATCCGGAACACATTTAACAACTATGATTGTTATTATTCAAGGATACTATGAGTTTGATAAACTACTAAAATACACAGAGCATAATCTCAACCAACTTTCGGTTTTATTCCTTTCCAATCTCTGATGCAGGGGACATATATGTGTTTTAAGGGTCATGCCTACATTAATTGGCATGGTTGTAAACGGATCTTGTATGGTTTAGGCACACAACGCCTACATATTGGGGGATCACTTTCGGGACAGCCTGAGATTGTTTGAACTGAACCAAACCAAACAGGGTGGATCTGAAGTGTAATACATGAATGCAACAAATCCAGCCATAGACTTTCATTAGATTCCCCCCTCATTTGGCAGTTGTTTCAGTACTATTTGGGACACAAGAGAGCAGGACAGAAAGCCCTTGTTTCAGATTTGAATAACTAATTAAGAGTTGTTGCCTGGATTGCTGATTATCATTCGTCGTCCCCTTTTCCTACCAGATATCCCCAGATGACAATTTCAGTGTGACTAATGATGGTGCGATCCATAAATTAGTCATAATCAGGTGCGAGGAAGAGCACTCTGGGAAATACCGCTTTGAGGTAGATGGTCGTAAAACAGAGGCAATGATCAACGTCAAAGGTTTGAGAATTTGTCTTGCATCTATAATGATTAGACAGTATAAACGGCTAACTGAACAAATGTATATTAACATCCATCAGACAGTATCAAATTACAGCTAAATACCAATTAAATGACTAACTGGTCTGTTCTTTTTGTAGATCCCCCAAGGTTCAACCACGCAGACCTCAGAGCTTTCACTGAGCCTGTGACGGTTAAAGCAGGCCACCACGCCATCTTCAAACTGCAGTTTCTTGGCCAAGAACCCGTAAAGATAAAGTGGTACAGTGAAGGAGAAGAGCTCCTAGATGACAACAACAACACAAAAATAGAGAAATCTGCAAGTCACAGCCGTTTGCTACTGAGCAGGTGCCAGAGAAAGAACACGGGAGAGATCAGGATTAAGCTCAAGAATGAACATGGCTTCATTGAGGCAATTTCACAGTTAATTGTGCTCGGTGAGTGACTGAAGGACAATGCAGGAAAATCTCTCATTAGGAGCAAATTTGTCCTGCCATGCACTGTTTGACTTAAGGATAAAAATAAAAAAAAATACTCAAAAGTTAACTGTCACTATAAATCTTTGCCAATACCAAAAGATGTGATGTGTGCAGGACGTTCTGTAGTAAGAAGTGCTTTGCTGTAAGATCTTACGCAGCAAACAGCGGTTTTGTTAACTGCGTCACAGTTCATCCACATAGACCAATTGTAAAAATCAGGCCAGTCTTTTATCATGTGAGTAAAGGGGCCCATTTCACTGGGCCCCATCTGTGCCTGGACAGATTTAGGTATTTATTTTCCAATTGCAAGAGTCCAGTGGGTGATAATGTGACAGTTTGAAGATGTGTTAAGTGGTTTCCAGAAGTTATTATGTTGAAAACCTCAGCTCCAAAACGGCCAAATGTAATTTGAAGTGTCAAATTAGTTTTGTATTATCTCTCGATAAAATGCTGTCTCTCCTTTGTTTTAATGCAGCCTTCTCTCGACTTTCAAGTTTTAACAAACACTTTTTTGATGTTTCAGACAAACCTACCTCCCCGCTGGGTCCTGCAGAGGTAACAGAAGGCTCCGCTATTTGTATTGAATTTAGGTGGAGGCCGCCAAAGGATGATGGTGGCTCACCAGTGATCAACTACATGGTTGAGCGACAGCAGGTGGGACGGAACACCTGGAAGAAAATTGGGGAAATCCCAGGTGTACCCAGCTACCGCGATACAGACGTGGACCATGGCCGGAAATATTGTTACCGTATCCGGGCAGTTACTGCCGAGGGTGCAAGTGGAGTGATGGAGACTGATGAAATGCAAGCCGGCACACTAGGTGAGCCAAACTGGGACTTTTGTGGTGTACGTCTGTCAGATCAGTTTGGTCCACCAACTAATCTACAATCCTATGATAATACATTATGAACTGCACACACTGAGGTTTCACGTTTTTTCTAGTCTCAATTAAACATACTTAAAAGACTTTTATTGCCATATGACAAAAGAATCCTCCAACGTGAAATCTTCTTTTGAAGTTATTGAACCTGCTCATTACAAGTCACACGGCGAAGCAATAACAATATATTAGTCACTTTCATTATCCAAAACCAGTTAAAAGTATGGAGACAGTTTCTTATTAAATTGAATGAGAAAATGTGTCCAAACTTTTGACCGGTACTGTATATTCAATCCTCCTGATGGCACAACAGCTAACCAAAAGTCCAGCAGAAAAAAAAAGGAAAATGGTCACAACAATCACAGGCCTTGTACAGCACAGAGGCCAACACAACACAAATAAAACATAGGCACACTGGAAAAATACTGACTTACGTTCTCCATGAGTCTTATCGGTTTGTAAGACTGGCGAGGAAGGTTTAAAGCCGTCCACTCCCAGGTCATCGTCCAGTTTTTCTCCACAATCTGTTGCCATTGTAAAAATAGTACATATTAAATTGTTATTGCAGATAACTTCATCGGTGCTGACTAAGTCACACACACCAGTATTTCTTCTTAATATCGGTCTACCTGCCCTGAAGCCTTTCATGTTTTTTCCCTTAATGTAAACACTTTTTTGTATTCATGGATCAAGTTTAAAGTTTAACGTTAACTAGTTAACGTTATATGGTAGTTTACATTTCACTGTAACGATAATTACATGTGATTTATCCGATAATGATAACGTTATATTCTAAACTCCATCAATACAATGTGATTACAGTTCTTGGCAAGTGTAACAGTGTATATGAAGTTAAACTTAACGTTATTAATGGTGTCGAATATCAAAATGCTATCTTGTCAGATAACAATTTAAGCTAGCCTGTTATCTAACATTAACATTGGATAGTTTTTTTTATTTTGGGTTATTTTATACATTGTAAAAATACGTTAGCACTAAGCTAACGTTAATCGTAATGTTAGCTAGCTACAATGCTAATGTTAAGTTAACCAAACATAAACTCAAACTTTTTTTAATTTGTCAAGCAAACGGTTCTTACCACTGATTAGAAGAGGTTCCTGCATTCGTCAAAGGCAATTTAGAAACAACAATGCTCCTTCTGCTGCTGAGCAGAGATTATTCTTTTAACTAACGTTGGTTTGCGATGTTCTGGATGGTTCCGCTGCGCTTGTGGCTCGTGTCAGTTAGTAACGTGTGCAACAGACACGGACCGTTTCAGGCACAGATTGGTGACGTCGTCAATCTAATCATTCGCACCTGTGCCTTTCCCACGCGAGGTGTCAACATGTGTCTCTTTGAGCATCAGTTGATTTAGTGTCATTACTGCCCCATGCCGTGCTCCATTACATCTTTCACAGAATTCATGAGCAATGAGACACAATTAAAGTCAGTCAGTCTGTCTCTCTATTATAAAGTGAATAATTATAGCAATTACTCATGTTCAAGTGAAATTGCTTGGGTTTTCTTCTGATGAGCAGCCCTATACCACAAAATATTAATTCACATAACAATTTGAAACAATAGCTGCAAATTCAAATTATTATAGTTGACTCACTTTATTGCAAGCAACCTATCAATTGAGAGGCCGAGCATTTCAGCAGATAGTTGTCACGCATACTGCACTTCTATAAAAGCAGAGGATTCAGCACAAAAAAAGGTACAGGTGTGCTACGTAGTTTTTATTTGTCTACCAAGATACTTTATAACATGGCCATGTATATAGTATCTTGGTGGATTTTTGTGCATCAATGCTGCATTAACTTAAGTAAGTACTATCACACTACAAAAGATCAATTCAGTATTCCTGACTACAAACTTTACAGTTTGTTTTCTGTCGGTTTCAGCTTTTCCCGGCCCTCCGGGACCTCCAAAGGTGGTCAGTGCCTACGACGACTGCGTCAACATTTCCTGGGCTCCGCCGAGTAACACAGGAGGTTCGCGTATCCTGGGCTATGTGGTAGAGAAGCGCAAGAAGGGGAGTAACCTCTGGTCCGTCGTCAATGCCACGGATGAACTCATAAAAGGTCTCCGACTTTGCATTCGACTACACTTTCAACCTGACGGCGTTGAAGACACCAACACTGATGTTTTGTCATTGTGGTTGTTTCTCTGAATTTTTTTTCCAGTGAAAAAATATGCCGTGAAAGATGTTGTGACAGGAATGGAATATGAATTCAGAGTCACTGCCGTAAACCTCTCAGGAGTTGGTGAATACAGCAACCCCTCAGAGTTTGTTTTTGCACGGGATCCAAAGAGTAAGTTAATAAACTCAACAATAAACAATAAATTGTGCGTAAAATATTCATCTACATATCTCGTAGGAATGTGTAAGAATTCAAATTATTTATTTTTAGATCATATTTATGATTACTTGAATTTGACATTAATTGTTGTGCACCCCAGAGCCTCCTGGTAAAGTCTCAAACCTGAAGGTGACAGAAAGTTCTTACTCCCACTTTGTCCTCACTTGGACCAAACCGGAGGATAAACCGGAGATTCAGGATGAGGCAAAGGGATATTTTGTTGAGATCCGACCTGCAGAGTGCCTCGATTGGTCCCGCTGTAATCCCACTCGCATCATCACGACTTCCTTCAGCGTGAAAGGCTTGAAGTCCAAGAACATGTACTGGGTGAGAGTCATCGCGGTGAACGATGGGGGAGAGAGTGCTCCCGAGGAGCTGGCCAACTATGTCCTCGCAATTCCCTCACCTGGTGGGTCATTATGTTAAAAGAAACAAAGAAAACGTAGTAATAAGCTGGTGGTTAATTCTGAAGTGCATTGATATTCCAAGCCTTTCAAAGTGTACTTTGTTTACTTCACATTACAGCCATGACAATATTCCGCATGTTAACTCAGATATTTTCAAGGTACTGCATCACTAATAAACTAACCTCTGCGTATTCTAGTGTTGTTCCCCATTGTGTAAGAACCTGGTGAAGTTGAATATTTTCAAAAAGCACTTTCGCGTGATCGCTTTTGCTCAACTTTTCTAGTGAGGCCTAAGTTCACAAACCACAAGATGAAGAGCTTCATGGTGGTGAGGGCAGGGAACTCTGTCAGGATCACAGTGAACTTTGAGGTGAGATTTCATCTTTAGGTTGATTATCTGCAAACAAGGTTTGTGGGTCTTACATTCAAGACAAGACATTACTAATGTCCCTTTTGTTTCACAGGCCTCCCCTCGCCCACATGTTATGTGGATAAAGGACAACGTGCCAGTGACAAAACGAGTCACAATCAGCAACTCTGACAGCTCATCGCAGCTGCTGATCCCCTCGTCTGAGCGCTCAGATTCTGGTATCTACTCCATTTTGGTGAAAAATCTTGCAGGACAGGAGACATTCAGTACAGAGGTCAGGGTCACAGGTACATTTAAGATATGACTTTTTCTTTTGCTACATCAATGTGGTAAGTTGTGTTGATGGATGAGCCGGTAACAGGTTTGTGTTTTGCAGATGACCCAAAGCCACCCGGCCCCGTAGAGCTGGAGGAAAACGTGCCCGGCACAGTGACAGTGATCTGGGAGCCTTCTCCCGATGAGAAGCGCGATGACCGCCTCCACTACACTGTGTCCAAACTGGACTCCACCAAACGCAATTGGACAACAGTGGCTGAAAACCTCTTCAATAACAAGTGTACAGTCTGCAACATCATGCCCGGGAGGGAATATCACTTTCGGGTGTATGCCGAAAACGACATGGGCGTTTCCGCGCCGTCAGAGTCACCGACGTGTTGGAAGGAGAAGAAGAAAGGTATACGTTTGCGACCTCAAACTGTCTCTTCTTCAGGAATGTTGAATCTGTTTCTCATTCCTTGCAGAAAAATGTGTGGTGAGCGTACCGACCAGAAAGGACTGCGACTTGCGATGCGCTCCGACCTTCATCGTCCCGTTGAAGTTTCACGCTGCACCCAAGGGCTACGAGTGCTACATGAGCTGCGCGGTGAAGGGAAACCCCAAACCTCGCATCACGTGGTACCGCAATCACATCAGCCTCAACACTGATACTAACTATTACATCTCCAACACCTGCGGCGTTTGCTCCATGTTGATTCTCCGCGTGGGCCCCAAAGACATGGGGGAGTACGCCATCGCTGCAGAGAACGCCCTCGGGCGGGCCGAGTGCTCCACCGTCCTCAGCGTGAAAGGTGAGAGAGAAACACCGCTGGTTATTTCCGAGGGTGGAATAAAAACAAAAAAACATGTTTAATTATGTGGTATTATTTCATCTTTTTTTACATACAGAGTGAAGAAACTACAGGCGGCACAGAATGAGCAGTGTTTCTTTTAAAGTTTAGATTCAATGTAAAAACTTGGAGTTGGACTGGTTGTGCTGCTTGGATGTAATACACTATTTGTAACAGGAACAAAATGGACTGTGGTGTCAATTGGGAACGCTAATAAAAATAAATAGAAGTATTGCTTAAATAAAACAATGTCCTTGGTGTTTTTAAAGATGATAAACCTGGAGTGTTTGGTCTCATGGTTCAAATCACATACTAATAGATGGAGATGGTTGTGGTTCAACATCGTTTTTCTGTTGAGAATGGATCCACAGCAGCTTGAGAAAACATGTCCGTCTGAAAACAGATGAGACTCATGATACTGTGGCAGTTGTGTGGCAATTGAGTTCATCCAAGTCTTGAGAGCAGTGCTCAGAAGATCTTTGGGGGAACCGGTTTAACAGGGGAAGTCAAGAAGACACAATGGTGCCTCTCGACAAGCCGACAATAAAACGGCAATTGACTGAATTAATACAAATAAAGTAAAGGACTGTTAACCCCAAACTGTGTCCAAATGGGCCGGAAGCATCAAAAGGTCACGTGGCCGTTCATATAAATGGCCAACCATGTCCCACCATCCTAACCCACAGTGGCCCTGCGCGACAGGAGCGCACAACTGCAGCGGGCCAAAAATAGCGCACAGTAACCCTCTACGTGTAGTTTTGCCATTGCCAGGCTCAGCCCCCCCCCTCCACACCCCCACACCTCCCACACACGCTCTTCCTGAATGGACGGTCGCGGGCCCCCGCGGTCCACGCCCCCCTCCTCCTGCCTCTTCTCCTGCTTCATCGTCGCAGCCTCTCGGTGCTTTACTGCGCGCTGATTGAATCCAGCCCGCATTTGGCGCGGAGCCGCTTTACGCAGAGGGAAACCAGACTCCAAACGCCGCTGGTAGCTTGGACCCACCGCGCTCCCGGTGCCGGGCGAGAACATTGTGTCCTCTGTGGTTGGAGATAATAAAATGACGGCGAAGCATCGGCGAGGGAAAGGCAACAGCAAACATGAGGACGGCTCGTTCAGGAACGACGTCGCCGAGTCGGAGAGTCGCGCCGGAGGCAACAACCCCGCGGTGCTCTCGGTTCTATTCCTGCTCATCGCGATCGGCGGTGCCGGGGGCGCATGGTTCTGTTTCCAGCAGCAGCAAACTTTAACCCACTTAACTGACAATCTCATGGGCATGCAGATGAAAATAGTAAAACTTCAGTCGTCCCACGAAGAAATGCGACAGTCAAGCAGCGAGGTAAGAGGCGACAAAAAGAAACGAAAAATAATACTTTTTTCTAGGCGAATGAACAATGCTCCTCTTGTGATATATACATACATATTACAATATGAATACGATCTGAGATTCCAATGTGCACGTTGACTCAACAGGAAAAGGCCTCAGCACATGCTCACACCTCCAAGGTGGAGGGTGGAGACCCTCGGGCCTGTTATCAGATTTCAAAATGTTGACCGGAGTGAGCACAAAACGCTGCTATTTCTATCACGCACTCAGCTGCTGAGGTTGGTGAAGAGGAATTAATCTTGACCTGCTGCTGCGTGAATACGTGAATGTGCTCAGTGTTAAAGTGCCATGTGGAAAATGTCTTTATTTCTAACTGGAGTGGAGATCAGAATTCTAAAGCTGCGCAGAGGATGCTGCCAAAATAGAAAGAAACAAGCCAGCAGTGAGCCGAGGCTAAATTTAGTCTGTGACTTTGAAAACCAGCACCAGTTCAGAGGCTGTTTACAGGCCGGATTGTAGAATAACAGACAGGGGTGATTGTTTCATCTGTATTTCTGAAATGATAAAGGTGTAGTAAATACTGCAAGTACTACTTAATCAAAGAAACTTTCGTTCCTATAGCTGTCACTGCAAACAGAGCCGCATGGTTCATGGGCTTCAGCCACACTTCCCTCCTGTTCGTAGTATCGCAACTAAGTTGCCGCAAGCAAGATGAGCAAGATTCTTTTTTTTCAGTTTGAACTCAACCACAACGAATCCGGTCTGACCACTCGTTCCCTTCCTCACACCAGCTCAGTCACACTTACACGTCTAACGACAGCGAACAGTGGTTTTGTAAGTTTAGTTGAAATGTTTTTGAAACCAGATGCTGATTAACTATACTTAACTCCTTTCTATGCGTTACTTTATTATGCAAATTCAGTATTCGGTTTGTATCACGTGACTTCTTGCAAGGAAGGACGGAAGTTTCACTATGATGTACAGGCATGTTCAGACCTGTTCTCATTGTATATGAAATGCTTCATATAGTCCATGGACCTATGAAAGGAGAAACGTCACACGGTAACATCATGTTTACTAAATAATTCTCATTGTTTTGGAGTCCACTTATACCGTAGTTGGTACAGGCACTTACAGGCACTATTGAATCGCTCATCCAGAGTCACAGACTTGTGGCCACGTTGACCCGGCATCGCTCCTGTGCGTCTCTTTGCAGCAGCACGTTCCGGAGAGCCTGGAGACCCGCCTCCACGCCCTGGAGGATTCTTATGCTCTGGCCCAGAAACAGGTGGCCTTGGCCACAGCGGAGCAGCTCAAGACGTCCGAGCTCCCCTCTCAGGTGCTGTCGCTCCACGCGGAGATGAGCGCCCGGCTGGCGGAGGTGCAGCAGGGCACCGTGTCCCCGGAGCAGCTGAGCCAGCTGCAGAGCTTGCTGGAGGGGAAGAGCGAGGAGTTCGACGGGGTCAGGGTTCAGGTGGACGGCCTGGCCGCGCTCGGCGTCGAGCTGTCCCGCAAGGTGGAGGTCCTGGCGGTGAGCGTCGGGGAGGCGGAGTCGAAGCTGCAGGAAGGACAGGTTGCCGCGCTGAGCGCCGGTTTGGACGGACAAGCCGCCGAGGTGCTCAGACTGAAGGGGCGGCTGGACGCTTACCAGGCTCAGCTCGAGGCCGGCACGCGGGAGATGGCTGCCGTCAGGTGGGCGGGTGGAACAAAAAGGCGGCAGTGTTGTGGAGCAAATAGCTCACCTCCGCTGACCCATGACTTGATGTTGACTTTATCAAAGCCCCTTTCGCTGTCATCGCTGTGTGTTACTTTAGTCCAGAGTCAGTAGGCCTCAAATCACATTGTGATTGATCTGATCTGTTTAAACACTTCTATTGCATAGATGGTTTTTGGAGCTGAATTGTTTAAATGTAAAATCAGCTTATGTAAACAATATGTGACGTTGCACACCTTAGATTAGAAGAAAGCAACCTAGTCAAACAAATAGACAATACAATTAACAATAAGGGGTCAGGCTTCATGGGGCTAGACAATTAATTCTGTAATATAACAATAAACCATGATTCCACTCATTCTCTTTCAGAGAGTTGCTTGAGGTCGAAGCGTCCCAGCGGCTCCAGCAGGCGGGTGTGGAGGAGCAGCTCAATGCGGTAGGTCAGAACCGGCAGGATCAGAACTCAGGAGCCCAAAGTCTGCACTCTGAACTCAGCTCAGCTGGAGAAAACGCTGCAGAAACAGATCTTTTTTTTTACAACAGTTTTGTATCATTAGATGATACTAGATCTATAATGGCAGAGCATGCGGGACATGTCCTAGTACACATACCGTCAGCACACATGGTCTCTTTGCTATTTCTGTCTATTTTGTGCCTAAAGGGAACTATAATGAGATTTCCATCTTTTAATTTGAACGAGCTAATTGCTAGGCATGGAGTCCCCAAAGGATTTACATCCACACCTACATGCCGTTTCTCTCTTATCTCATTTACCAAAGCATCTGGGTGTCCACATATCTGCCCCTCAAATCATTCACTATAAATAATCTGGTTTACTATGAACAAATATGTATTTTATTGCTTTCTATTGTTTAGCCGGTGAGACCGGCGGAGGAAGAGACAGCTCCCGAAGAAGGGGAAGCTGCAGCTTCTGAAGAAGAGGAAGCTACAGCTTCTGAAGAAGAGGAAGCTGCAGCACCTGAAGAAGAGGAAGCTGCAGCACCTGAAGAAGAGGAAGCTGCAGCACCTGAAGAAGAGGAAGCTGCAGAATCTGAAGAAGAGGAAGCTACAGCTTCTGAAGAAGAGGATGCTGGAGCATTTGAAGAAGAGGGAGCTGCAGCACCTGAAGAAGAGGAAGCTGCAGCACCTGAAGAAGAGGAAGCTGCAGCACCTGAAGAAGAGGAAGCTTCAGCACCCGAAGAAGAGGAAGCTGCAGCACCCGAAGAAGAGGAAGCTGCAGCACCCGAAGACGAGGAACCTGCAGCATCCGAAGAAGACGGAGCTGCAGCATCTGCAGAAGACGAAGCTGCAACATCTGAAGAAGAGGAAGCTGCAGCACCTGAAGGAGAGGAACCTGCAACATCTGGAAAAGAGGAAGCCGAAGAAGCATTTCCTACTGACGGAAAACAAGAGACATCCCACCCAGAAGTGGAGGCGGATGAAGGAGAAAAGGCGGCGGCACAGGATGAAGCACCTGTTGAATGGGGAGACTCGGCGACAGATGAAACTGCTCCTGTAGAGGAGGTGCAGAGTGAAGAAGAGCCTGAAGAGGAGAACCAGCAGGCAGATGAAGAAGAGAGGGATACAAAAGAAGAAGTAGAGGAGGAGATGTTGTCTGAAGGAGAAACAGGACTGGGAGGGGAGGAAGAACCGTACCATGTAGCAGCTGAAGAGGAGACGGGTGACGAAGAGGAGCCATTAGGACATGACGCTTTACTGGAGGATGAATGTAAGAAAAAATAACTTGTTTTCCAACACTAAATGTATGTATTAACATCACTGTTTTGCCCAGTGCTAACATTTTCTTGTTTTGTTATGTTTTACAGAGGGCATTGTTTCATACCGGACATATCCAGAAAGTCAGATCGGAACTCTGAATTTTACATCCCGACTGTAGGAAGGAATGATTGATTGCTGTTGTGTATGTGGTTGCTCTTTGGAAGGCAAACCTCAGTCAGAATTCAGCCACTGCGCTGGATTCAAAGCTGAAATATGTACCTCAAAATAAGACAAGGCTGTTATGTTGAAATGAGTAATTCAGGGTTTTCCCTGCCAACAACAACCTCAGAAGCCTTAATCCATCACATAATAACACTGGACAGGACTCCCACTTTGTTTATGGTCAGAGTCATGTCCCGAACTGTTAACTGTCAATCACTACAGCTTAAGCCATAAGAAACGCCTGTCATGGGGACATTGAAATGAATGGGTTCTTTTTCTCACTTCCTGAAATTTACTATGAGACGATTTTTTAGTTACTGAATGTATCCCACTTTTTTACTCAGGCAAACACAGCCGACTAGAAAGAAAGAATCTTTGACGGGATAAACAAGAAAAAGTCCTGAATATTTTTTAAGTAAAGGACAAACTAGATGATAGATTAAAAAAAAAAACTTTTTACTGTAATTAAAAACTGGGAGTATGCTTTGATTTAGCTCTTCAACGACTCCAACTCAGACCTACACAATTGTAGTGTTGTAAACTATAAGTCATCTACCAAGAATCTTTTCAGCATCATTCTTCTTCTTTATTCTTTTTTAGTTCAGATTTGACATCATTCAGTGATTGAGTCAGAAGAATAAGATCAGATATTAAGAGTAATAAATATGTTGTTAGAAAATGAGCTCTTTAGAGACATGACGAGTGGAGTCAGATGTGGAATGTTTAGTGATTCAGTTCTTTGTAGTATAGTGACACCTGGACCCCACTGGACGTTTTGCTTTTTAAAGCACACAGCATTTGCCAAGGCGCTGGTTACTGGTTGTTTGAAACTTGTATTTCATGATTTTTTTAAATAAACGCTGGTTCTTTCACTTCTCTGGACTGGATTCTGTGCTGTTGTCGTACACAATTCACATCAATCAATATTGCTTGAGCGGCGCATGGGGCGGGGTGCTGTTACCCGTATAGGCAAAGCCGGACACACTAAGTGTACGAAAGCTCATGTAATCCCAACTGTTTAAAACACAACATTTCAGCCAGTGTTGTGATAAAAATGCTCACAGACCCGCAGTTGAAATTCCTCCAAAAAAATGATTTATTTCCTCCTGTTTACGAAACATCAGTCCCCAGATGTTTTATCGCAACGTTTGAATTTTGGAGGTAAGGAAAAGATTTTACTTACTTTAAATAATAAGGCTTTCAATATTTTCTACAGATCTCGATGACTATTAAATTGAATTAGAGTTACAACAATTAGACATGAGCCATGTCTATTCTATGTCTAATTGTTGTAACTCTAATGAATTTGCACTGTTTTGTAGTTTAGCAACCTACATGTCACCACCAGAAAAGATACCACCCTTAACCTTCTTCTTTACTATTTGCTCACAGTGGATGCATTTTTATAACTTATCAAATAATACTTAAATCAAGAAATCCATTTTCTGCAACTGGTATAAACCCTTGCTTGCATTAGACCTGGCAGAATGTCTCAATCGATTGTGTGTGCATCAGATGCTCTCTCTCCCTCCCACTCTCTCCCTCTCTGTCTCTCTAGCCAGTTGCAGTCAGTTGGTTCCAGCCTCTTCCACATATCGGTGCTGCAGTGTCTCGGTGCCTCAGTCTCTGACCTTCCACAGGGACCATGCAGGCATTTCTTCCCAGGTAAGTTTCAGAGACAGCGAGTTGGGCTGCTCCATTGCTGGATTCTTATTTCACCTATTTTCTCTACAACAAGCCACTTTTTTAGCAAAGGTCCTCGGCCATGTGTTTGTCATCTTAATGTCAAGTAGCTATGCTTTGTAGGCCTCTTTGAACTGATGTAATGTGAGCTTGCAATGTTTAACTCGTGGGGTTTGGAATGAGCCCTTTCTCTTTGGCGAGCCTCTCTATGTAGATTAGTCACGATTGGCCAAGGGATGTTGTTCTTAGCAACTATTTTCAAGTCATTTATTATTCACTTTTCTTAAGAGGAGGGTTTTGCTGTGAAGGCCTTCGGCTTGCAGTTCTGGGTGGAAACATCGAATATGCTTTGCGTTGCACATTGTAGCGTGGAGTGAGACTCTCAGTCAGGACTCAGGGTGACTCCACAACCCGAGATCAATAGCAGTAAAAGCGTAGCCGGGGAGGAGCCGGCAGCTCGCCGGTAAAACACGAGCCTCACTGATGCTTCCTCAGCACTTTCTGTGTCTGTTAAGCCTCTTGCGCAAATTGAGCTCAGGTCTTTAAGTGACGATGAAAACGCATTTTAAGAGCATCTTGCCTTCCTAATTCTTTGTATTTCTCGTTTGAATGTGACGTTGGAGCATAATGCTGTTAAACTTGCTGATGGTTCATAAGGTTACATTTAAAAGATGTACAGCAGGACGTTTGAGAAAATTGTTTTTTTTCCATTTATTTAAAAATATACATTACATGGGAAATGTGTACGATTTTATATGTATATGTACATGTTATTTTTTGGTCCATGTACAAAAAGTGAGTCTGGCAAAACAAATACTGAGCAGTATACTATGTTATTGAATTATGTGTGCTTAATTATTTATGTTTACTGTTTTTTCTCTACTCAAGCAGGTCATACCTGACCCCAGTCAGGGACGAGGAAGCGGAGTCTCAGAGGAAAGCAAAGTCCCGTCATGCCAGACAGACCCGAAGGTCAACACAGGTAAAGATCCAATGTCTGATGACACATTTTATTGGATCGGGTTTTGACTGTTGACAGATTTGAAGCTGTATAAATGTCCTACAGGGAGTGACTCTGACTGACCTGAAAGAGGCTCAGAAAAGCAACATCCTGTCTCCTCAAAACAGTCGGAAGGCGGAAGGAGGCCCTCTGGCTGAATTGAGTTGCCTGAAGAACGGCTTGACGGACGACAGGAGAGTCAGAAGTGTCTCGATGGAGACAACGGAAACAGCGGAGATCAGTCCCAAATGGCCCGATGGTCCCAAATGGAGCAAAATGGACGAGGTCAGTAGGAGGAATGAATGCCGTTTGGGAACCGGCCTCAGCAGCCGTGTTTGAATTGGAGGATGTTTGTGATTTCTTTACCATTTTTGTATTTTTCTTTAATGCTTGTGCAGCAGGGGAACGTTGAACGCAGGTTAGAAACCATCGCCGACTCTCCGATGTCAGACCTTCCGTGTTCGTGTGTTGCTGGATCCCGTGGGCTGCTTCACTGCAACAACGCCTTCACAGGTCACCAGAGCATTGCTTATATTCTGATTCACGTGCGTGTATGTGAGTCAGGGAGTGAGTGATATTGAAGAGGTTGTCCTTCCCCTTCGCCACAAACTGGGCCTCTGCATTTAACGAAAATGAAAAATCCATTCAGGCATCATTATTGTTCTCAACATAGTGACGTTACTCATGTGTGAGGTTGATCAGACACCACAGGCTTTGCTCTGGATGAGAATCCTTTGTATTTAAATGGCTTTTCCAGAATTTGAAATGCCGATCATTGACAAGGTCTAGGTGACAAAAAACATTTTAAGAAGGTTCTTTGAGCTAAGAAAGAAACCCAGACACGACACCCAGGGTTAATTTCACAGTAAATGTTCCTGTTTATTTCCAGCAGTGATGGAAAGATCCTTTCAGAATAAAAGTACTTACTGTTTTTGTACAGCTGGTGCGATATGCCGGAGGGATGAAAATCAGAACCGCGTTGAAGATGAAGCTCCGCTGACCTTTGAAACAAGACAGCGACTCTTCTGTGATGGAGAGGTACGTGGAGAAGAGACATTGGTGCTCTGAACGTCACAGAGAGCAAAGAGGTTTTGATTTAGTCTCCATTGATGGCTCTTGCCTCGTTTCCGGTTGTCCCCCCCTGAGTACCACTAGATGGAGCCAAAAGATTTCTGTTCTCTCACTTTGTGCTGAGCGGATTTGAGTATTTACAGTTCACTTGAGAATAACTACAGTCTCATGCATTCAGATCCCTTGAGAGTATGTGTGCTCATGACACACTTTGGTTATCAACACTCTTATTCAGGAAAAAGGTATCTCGGTATTAAATGCTTTCACGGCACAGGATCTCGTGCCAATTTTATTCTTCAATATTAATTAACAAGGTTGTCTCATCCCGTTTCTCTCCCGAAAGCTAAGTGCGCTTCACAGGCTGCGGAACTGTGATGCAAGACTCTGAGAAGCTCCGCAATCACAGACGTGAAGTGTGACTTTAGAGATTCTCTTCATGAGAACTGCTGGTTAATATCTCGTGGAAAGACAATCCAGGGGGGACAAACCTCCTCCTGCTCCACCCCGTCCTCCTCCCCCTCCTCCTCCTCCTCCTCCTCCCTCTAAGTCGCTTTGCTTCCTCACATCACATGGCTGAGGTGTCTCAGCATACCATACCATATTGGGCTCTCTGCTTGGTCTTAGCCTTGGATTCAGAGGGATTGACTGTCTTTTCTCCTCCACCCTCTGAGCTGATACTGTGCTCCCTCCACCTGAGAGCCTCACGTGAAACCACCTGAACCGCGTCACTGCTTCCACATGAGCTTCACCGAGGACATTCTATTAATCTGTGAGAAGACGGATGCCGGTCAGTGAATGGGTAAAGAGAGAGGATGCATGGCGAGGATATGGATCATAGATTCCCCTTCATTAAGCTGACTCTGGGTCAGCGGTTCAGCTGTCGCCCGCGGTGGAATCTGAACCGTAGATCTGTTAGGAACACGAGAGTCTCCTGGCATTACGCAGCGGACTATATCCGTCCGTGATAATAACACAGAGCGGCGAGGCTTCATGGGGAGCGCGACAGGCTGCCCACCGCCACGGCCGACCCCTGCGTGACCCTGTGATGATCTGAGCAGATTTTCCACTGTGGCTTTCAGGCACAGAGGGAGGGAGACAGGTGTGGCGTAGGAGGGTGTCTGATCCTTGTAAAGACATAGGCAATGGCGGGGATTATGATACGGGGGACTTTACAAGAGCGCAGGCCCCCACTGCCACTTTTGGGATTCAGTGATTCGATCCTGGCTGGTAGCACATTCCGCTCCAACACAGCTCCTGAAAACAAGCAAAGTCTGGGAAGAGCTTCGGCGGCTCGTCGTCTGTGTTGAGAAAAAAAGATAACAACCCATGTGGATAATCCTGAAGCCGAGGGTGAGGATCAGACTGGGCCAAATCCAGATGGGCTCCAGTCTTTTGAAACTCTCCACCGAGTCATATATTCTCTACAGATGGAGAAGAGCATTACAAATATACCTCATATACAAGATAGCTGCTGTTGCCGATTGCAGATTCAAACCATCTGTCACAAAAGCTTACACAGTGATACATGCAGAATAGTTTAGCAACCAAAGAACATCAACCTCTCTTTTTCATGCCTCTGTGTTTTTGACTTTATCTTTGCTTTGATCTATTCACAACAAGGAAGAACGAGGCCCCAGCAAAGAGCTACGTGCCTCGCTATAAAAGGTAGCAGGAGTCGGCTTGTGCACAAGGGGCAGTCCTGTTGGGAACTGCGTATTTTTCCTTCTCCCTGAGAATTAGATGATTGATACCACTCTCTCTCGCCTGTATGGTAAATATCGAGCTTTAGCGGCCACGGCTCCATACAGCGGGTATTGTCCAGTATTCGCTTCCTCATCAAACTCAGCAAATCATCCTTCCCCCAAAACGTTTCCGTGATTAAGACGGAACGAGGTCTTGATGTGGACGTTTAACCGGGCGCCTCGTTAATATTCCCGGGTCTTAAACAGAGAAACCGGCTCCTCGCGTTTCGGCGGGAAGGAAAAGGTGCTGACACAGTGTGTCACTCCTGACAGCATCTCTCCTCTCCATCTCACTGTGGGACGAACACAGTTACCCGACACTTCAGGGTGGATGATGTGCTCCTCAGGTAATTCTGTGTTGACCTTCCAGGACACAAACTGCTGCCAACACCGCCCCCTCCGCCCCAATCCCCACCTCCCCACCTCCCCCCTCATACACACTCCAACTCTGGCTCGTGCTCACCTTCCCCTTATCCTCGGCCACATCATTGGGCAATTTCGGCCCTCGGTGCCGAGTCCGGCCACAGCAGATCTTCTGGCGGCGTTCAAGATCGAAGGGAGCAGTGAGATAGTGGAGTCTCGGGGAGAGAGGGGGGCAATCATCGTGAGGAAAAAAAGAGAGAGAGTGCTCGTAGACTTTTGTAACAAACGAAAAGTCAGCAAAGGAGCGAGCTTTGTTCCCTGGCCACTTCCTTTGGAGACTTTCTTTCCCTCCACGTTTCATCCGAGACGTCAGCCGGAGCAGAACGGTTCTGTTTGCTTCACGAGATGTTTGTCTTTTGGTTCTCGGAGGACAATTGTTTTTTTCTTTTGTTCTTTTGCAATTTTTGATCTGATCATCGCTCCACCGTCTGGACTTCTGAACACGGCGTGACCACACATTCGGAACTCCTCTAGAATTAGCTGCAAGTATCTTCAGCTCATCGTGTGAGTGTGATGCTGGACTGAGACACACAGACACACACGGCCGTACACACACACAAAGACACACGCACACAAACACCTGTTGTTTTTGAGGATTCCCCGGGAGCTCAGTCATGGGCATCTGCGTCACCGTTGCTTGAGGGCCTCTGTGCAGCTGTGACCTGCTGGTGTCCTCGGTGAACGTGACAGTAGACGTTGACCTCTAGTCCAACAGAAGAGACGGAGGGAGGGAGGGGGGGTGAGATGTCCACCTACTACCCGCGCACCAAGGACCTGACTCGCACCAGGAAGTCGCTGACCGAGTCCCCGCCGTCCTCTCCGTCCCCTACAGACAAAAACTACAGAGTAAGACCACAAACTTTCCCTCTGTCTGAAAAGTGTTGATATCGGACATCTCAGTTTATTTAACCGTTTTTGTGATTTACAGAACTACGGTGTAGAAATAATTAATATTCTGGATTTCCGCCTCTAAACTGTTACTTTCTACGTTTGTTTCAGGCAAAAATATATTTGAAAAAATCTGGACCTTTTTTTAAATATTTTTTATTAATTTTGGCAAAGGAATAATGAACCAGCAGATTAACCGATAATTTAAATAGTTGTTGCAAGCCTTTTAAATATTCATAACTTTACAGTTGTGAGTGTGTTTAGTCAAAGAGGCAAGAATGTCAACTCTTCATAACAGGATAAGAGTTAATCCCTAATTACTCCATGTTATGTAAATGATGATGAACTATGCACGAATCCTGAGTCCCCGAATCACTCAGTTACATTGTTGAAATAACTTGTGAGCTCAGCTTATTTGATTACCACATTTTCTGGAGAAGACTTTTCTTCTGCATTTGCCATGTTTTGTTTTCTTTCTGAGGGGTTTTGTCAGTGCAGCAGACCGAGCTCCTTGACGGACACATTTAAAGGCACAGAAAGAAATGCAAAAATATGAGGCGCCGTTACACAGTCTATTTAGAGACACTCACTTTGCTCATCTTCTGCGTTATGCAACACTGCAGACGCTTGCAGCACAATTGCCAGCAGTGAACGCTATCATTTTTTCCTTTTTGAAACATATCCACAATGAAACAAGCATTTATTTTCCATGACGTCAGATCAATCTGAATTGGTTTGACTCTGAAAAAACACAGATCAGTGGAATCGGGTTGATGCAGTATTTGTAGCACTTGTCCCGATGTTTTGATGGGAACCCGGTCCAGCGTGCTTCACCGCGGTGAGCAAGTGTAAGTAGAATAAACACATTTTATTGGATGAGACGGACGTTTGGAAAATACTCAGTGGTGGAAAGTAACTAAGTACATTTACTCAAGTAAAATGAAAAATAAAATACTATCACCTCTCCACTTTCAGCATTTCCATTTGATGCTACTTAAAATACTGCAGCTATAATCAAGAGCTTCTTTTTTAAATTATGTTTCTCATTAAGAAAATCTAACACATGAAGATTCCCCACCATTAGTTTGAGGAAAAACAGTTCTAGTGCCCATGAGTTTACAGCAGTTCCACAAAATATATTGTTGTGGCTCAACAAGCAAGACAGGCACGAAGGACCCAACTGCAGACCAAGAACCAGGCTGACAAACAGACAAGACGGAAATAATACGAATTAAAAGTACAGAAGAAAAGCATCGGAGGACTCTTCCACTTCCATTAGTGGACAAGATTCATTTTGACTCAGTGCTCTTAAAAAAAGAAAAAGCAGCAGCTCCCCGACCGGCTCTGATGCTGCAAAGAGTTAATAGCAGGAGAGGTTTGAGTGAGCAAAGGTGAGTGAATGTGGAAGAAACGTCTTTTATGGTTGCCTGTGCGACGTCATTTCCAGCAGGGTGGAGAGACAAAGCCGTGGGTGTGTGTGTGCATGCGTGTGTGCGTGTGTGCGCGTAGCTCAGGTTTTCCTACTGCGATGCTGCGACGGCGGGGAGGAGATGAGAGGGAGGGAGTCAAGACTCTCCTAGTGATCATTCCATCGGCTCTCAGGGACGGCTGTTAACGTTACCGTTTATATAATGCAGCAGTGAGCTTGTGCACTCCCCCCCCCCCCCCCCCCCCCCCCCCCTCTACCCCTCCCACCACCCCCTGCTGTGTATGACGCTGCTCCTGTCACACCATGAAGCCGGAGGCAGATGTGTTTACAGAGCGCCCGTGGCTCAAGCATGCACGTTTCCATCAGTGTGACACCCTGTTGTTTTCCGCTTGTCTCCGTCGCATCTGCTCTGCCTCACAGAGTTTGCTGCATGTGCCACTTCTGACTCGCTCCTAACAAGGGAGGCACACTGCGGCACGCAGTCAGAAGAAGAATTTCAGCTATGATCGAGTTTCTGGCTTTGGTTGAAGTTGAAGAAAAAAGCACCATGATGCAGAAGTGCATCGGCTTAAGGATCACCTCTACGAAGAATCTCTCCCCGTATAACTTAAAAAAGAAATTTGCTAATCCTTTAGTGTGAAAAAGGTTTGCGTACAGTCAGGAACCCCTAATCTTGCACGGGTTTGGTGGGGCAGACGTCACGGTGATTTATTCATAAAATCAGGGGGCCGATCCTGACAGTTAATTAACGAACGAGCACCAAACATAATTGCGGAATGTTATCAGCGCTGCAGGAAGGGATCAGAGCGAGTGGGAGCTCATCATGGCCCTTTTTTCATCTCAGGTCACGGAGGTCTGTTTTTTCCTCGGTAGCTCTTCTTGAGCACATGACCACATAAGGACAGGCGCCGCTGGCTCGGTTATGTAAACACTTGGTGAGGAGCAGCTCCTTTGATGCTGCATGAAACCCCCCCAACCAAGTCTGCAAATGCCAGCACAGGAATATCAGTTTGCTCCGTTCTGTTCAACGCAAATTGTCCACCTATTAAGCCCGTTACTTTAATTCAGTCTACATTACATCACATGTCATTGAGCTGACGCTTTTATCCCAAGCGATTTGCAATAAGTGCATTTCAACCATAAGGATACAAAGAGCCTGAATCAGGAACCTGCGCCGCCTTCTGAGTGAGAAGAGGACGTATTCTCCTGATGTTGTAGAGCGTGTCTCTACAAAGTCGCATTGTCGCTGTAATGTTGGGGGTCAGGGAGAGTTGAACGGTGTCACGCCGAGGTTCCTGGCAGTCAAAGTCGACATTAACACAGAGCTGCCAAAGTTAACAGTCAGGTCCTGTGTAGGAGAGTCTTTTCCCGGAAAGCGAAGTAGTTCAGTCTTGTCGGGTTTGATTTTCAGATGGTGAGCGGACGTCCACTGAGAGACGTCAGTCAGACGGGCAGAGATCCGCCACCTGAGTGTCCGAAGTGAGGGAAGGAGAGAATTAGTTGAGAGGAGTCGCCGCAGCGTTCGGACGAGTCGGTTGAGGGGGAGAGCTGATAGAACAGAGGAGGCCAGAGAGGAGGGAGAGAGGGAGCGACTGTTGATGGGGCGAGGTCGTTAGTTATAGAGAGAGTAAGAAGTGGTCTGAGACGTGAAGTGGGGTCACAGAGAGGTTAGAGCTAGAGCAGTTTCTGGTGGATATATAGTCCAGGTGATTGCCAGCTTTGTGAGTCGGAGTAGAGGGACTGAGGGACAGTGCAAAGGAAGAAAATAGGAGTAAAAGGTCAGATGACATCTCTGTGTGGATGTTGAAGTCACCCAGGAGGATGAGCGGAGGGCCATTTTCAGGGAAATTGGACAGGAGAATGTCCAGTTCTTCCAAGAAATGACCTAAGGAGCCTGGCGGACGGTAAAGGACAACGATATTTAACTGTTCCGGGTGAGTAACTGAATTCGAAAGACAGTGGGGTGGAAGAGGGTAGAGAGAGAAGCTCCATTTGGGTGAAACGAGTAGACCTGTGCCACCACCCCTGCCAGTGGGTCTGGGTGTGTGGCTGAAGGAGAAGGCGGAGGAGAGAGCAGCTGGGGTGGATGTGTTCTCAGGTGCGATCCAGGTCTCAGGGAGAAGTCAAGCGACTGCTGCATAGCAGAGCTGTCTGACTGTCTACATCTGCTTCTTGTCTGGAGCAGCTTGGATCACCAGTGGCACACAAGACAAGTTCATTGCCCTTATTTTCTCAACTGAGGTGTTTAAAGCCCTCTTTTCCTGGCGAGACAGCAACTCCAAATCCTTACGTTTAGGAGGAAAGAGGTGCTGCATTCAAGCACATCATTGATCACTCTGACATCCTATTGTGGACTCTTCTCTCTCCCGTTCTTATTTCCAGTCTCCGACTGAGGGTAAACACCTCCAGTCATCATGTGCCACGTTTATCAGCTGATGGGAGTGAGTTCTGATCTATTTGATTCAGTTTGGTTTGGAGCAGAACAGATTCTGATAGTAGAGAACATATAAAGCGATAGACGTGTCCAGTAACACGGCAGCAGACATGTAAATTACAGCTAATAAATCATAGACATATCTGTTGGGTAAGAGCATTTCTGAAAATAGAGCCAAGTGAAATCCAGTTAGCCAAAAACTCTTGAGTGGAGCACACCACCCAGAATCCGCGGTGAAGTGGAACTAAATTCCGTGTGTGATCACATCAGGCAGATTAAGCGCAACTTGGCAACGTTTACAGCGAAGCCCCGCCAGCGCCCGAGGTCACACGTCGACCCGCCACACGGGAGATGCTTCGCTGCTGAAGTCATGATGTCGTCTTCGCGCCGCGGGGATCGGCCCGGCGGCCTTCTGTTCTGGGGGATTAACGGGGCTCACCGGGGAGCGCTGACCGGCGCGAACCTTGTTAGTTCAATGTTTGGCCGGATTGAATGTCGCATTTCTTGTCCCGCCGGGGCGCCAGGTCTCTGGACGCGATGTGATAATTCACCTGGAAGTTTTTGTTTTCTCCTCTGTTGTCAGCGAAATGAAAAAAACATTTCACCGCCGAGCCTCTGGCTGATCTTATCAAACAGATAAATCTGGATCCAACAACAGTAAAAAAAAAAAAATCTTATCTCACGCTGAAGTGTCAGGCGATCCAACTAACATCGTTTTGTTGTTTGTTTTGCAGCATGACAGATTGTCAAGGTGAGGATTTATCTTCTTCTTTCTCTCCGGTAATATGAAACTATATTTCCCTTGAAGAATCCAACAATAAGTGGCCTAAAGTGTGTGCTGGATGTGCTGCTCTCAGATATGACTCCAGTGGGGAGAGTGCAACGGACAAACCGCTGGGCCGCGCCGGCTCTTACACCCGCAGGGAGACCAGGCTGGCTGCCCTGAGCAAAGAGGAGCAAGACTCCTCCAGCAAAGACTATAAGAAGGTAGTGAACAATCACCCCAGAGGGATTCCTGTGCTGCAGAGAGCCGATTCATCTATTTTAACAACATGCCAAAGCAAACAGATACTTGTTAGGAAGATAATACGTTTTGTCTTTTCAATATTTGGATAAAAGTTCATTCAAATTATTTACAGACAAGTATACACAAGTAGTGACATATAACAGGTGTTTATACTTTACATTAATTTTATTGATAGCGCATTTAGATAATTCCTGTCATATAAATGATGCCGAATAGTAATATGTTATTATAAGATGTATTTTACCCTATTGGAGTCCAAACGACAAAATCATAGGTATCTGCAAACATAAAGGTTCTCAAGATTTGGGGAAGGACTTCAAAAAGTGACTGTGCCAAATTAATATAATATACAGAATGAATTAAAATTATATATTTAATATACCCCATATGTTTAATTTGCTTATGTAAAAAAATAGCTTCACCATTAAAATGCAGGGGATGCATTGTATGATAATCTCAGGGTCTCTAGACAAAAGTGAACTTTGTGTGTGAGTGAAATAGAAAAGCTTTGTCAACCTGCCGACACAAATATTCAAAACATGTTTTTAAAAACTATTTAAAAGGCCGGCAGAGAACCAAAAAATAGAACGTCATCTCCCCAGGCTTTTTTCTCCTGGCAAGTTATATATAATATATAAAATCATAAATCGCTCCTTGAGCACAGTAGAAAGAATACAGTGTTTTATGACCAACCTGTGCAAAAAGAAATGAACTACACTGAAAACTGATGTGTGTCTACATATACTTTGGGTTTTGACTGGATCATTTTAATTAATTAGTTTAATCTAAATGGTAAATTTTTTGTTTACATATTTTGACCTTTAAATCTTTGTAATAAGGCTCATTCTTAATCGTCACAATGTCCACTTCCAGATGTACGCGGAGGCTTTGCATGAGAACGAGAAGCTAAAGTCCAGGCTGCAGGACAGCAAACACGAACTGGTGAAGATCCGCTCTCAGCTGGACAAAGTCACGCAGGTACAGAAAAGCCAGAGAGGAAAACTGTCAGCTCAGTTCTGTTTTCACTGCTTTACCATCATCCTTCCAAGGTCCCTAATGGAATCGGGCTTCAAAATATTCCCCAATACTGAAAATAACAGTATCATTCTAACTTCTAGAGGCACGACAGACTATCAGAGAGATCTACAGTCCTTGAGTCTGAGAAAAGGGTAAGTGTCTCTGCAACATTTTGGAATGTCTATATTTTATTCTACCATCAAGATGGCTGAATGCTCGTGTCCTTTCTCAGTGTTTTTCCCTTTTTTCCCCCAATAAAATATATTCATGTCAGCGCCCTTTTCTTTTATTTACAGGAAAAACAAGCTCTTGATAAAAAAGTGTCAAACATGGAGGATGAGTTGAAGGTCAGTGCAAGCAGAAACAAATCTTGCATACTCACCCCGGGTTTAAATAGCATATTTTCTCTCTTATACAAGTCGTGCGTCAGTTATCTGGGATGTTCTTTTCCCCCCCAAACCCTGCAATAACACTAACAGTACATGAAGGTCCACGCCTCCGGCCAAGCCACTGTTACACGTGCTAAATCAAGCACGCCTAAAATGTTTTTACGGAGCAAAACACACACACACACACACATGTATAGCCGCCGCGTTCTCCCTCCAGGGTTGTTGTCAGCCAGGTGGGCTGGAAGTCAAGGACAGGGAAGGTCAACGCTGGGGGCTCATCACCCACTTCCCGGCACGCCGAGGAGGGAGCCTGCTGCTGACGATGCTCCTCTCGCTCCGCTTATCCCACCGGCGGGGTGGACATGCTGACCCAGTTCTAGTTCTAGAGCACCAAAACCCCGTCCGAGACGAGAGAGATTTCACACCCGAGTAGCCGTGGCTCGCCCTGTGTACGTGCAGCTCTCTCTCTCTCTCTGTCAGGAGATGAGAAACAGAGAAGGTGTCGCGCGCAGGCCGCGTCGTCATGAACAGTGACACATGCAGCAGTGTGGAATGTCGGCGGCTAATGTTTGACCCCCCTCGTTTGTCGTGGTTCCCCCAGCAGGACCCCCGCTGCGGTTCCGCTGCGGGTACCAGCCCTGAGAGCAGGTGGTCTCGGGGGAAGTGGCGGTGGGTGTAGGGTGGTGGGGGGGAGGGGAGGGGCGACGTGGGAAAAAAAAAGTGATTGACACCTGCCTGTCACCTCACGCGACTCTGCGCCGCCGAGAGACTCGGGCATGTTTACACGTGTGGACGCGCACTCTGCATCTAAGCCACACTCACTCACTCACAAAGTCACTGGTTCACTTTCAGCGAGTTGCGGCTCAGTCGAGCAGTGCCAACACGTGCCTCCTACCGGAAAGGACCCCCAGCGCCGTTAGGACCCCCGAGATCTGAACACAACCTGCTGCACAGTTGTGACAATCTGCAGCTTACAGAAGTGTGAACATTGCAGTAGCTTCTGCACTCCTTCCCTGTAGGCGGCGCACGTAGGCACGGCTTCACCTCCAGTAGAGGGGTGCAGATTTAATTGGGACCACCTCTTCAGGTCTGATCCCGTTAGTCTGTAATGCACCGAGGGTCTCAGGTGCCTCTCATCAATGTGTGTCCTTGTTTCCCCTTTTGAAATAGTCTCACCACTGGTGTCTTGATTACTTTCTAGCGCCTCACATTTCACACGTAAGGCCGAATTATTCCCTGTGAAACTTGATTAGGGTCAACTACGCCGGATCCCCTTCCAGACTGGAAAGTTTGTTCCGATCTAATTTATTATCAAAGAGCTCACTTTTATGAGAGTGTGATGAATTCATTCAGACGTAGTGCTTCCTCAGCCCACTCTACCCTTCTCTTCTCTCTCGCCAAGGGCACCTCTCCAGAAGCTGCACCTTCTTGTTCTGAGGACATTATATGCATGAGCTGTTGCTTTCCAAACACAGGCTAACTGTGAATTTCTTTCTTGTCTAAATGTGTTTTGGTGTTGTAAGAAGCAGCTGGATGTCCTCCTTTGAACCCTAACGTGGGCCATATTCACGTGTTTCGGTAGCCTGAAACATTTCAAGTGCCCCGCGTGTGTGTCTGTGTGTGTGTGTGTGTGTGTGTGTGTGTGTGTGTGTGTGTGTGTGTGTGTATTATGTGGTTTGCCCTCAAGAATTGCGTCAAACCACAGATGTTTCTGTTTAACCACGTTGAGGTTCACCTCAAAAAGTCCGGCCAAGAGGAAGTGAAGGGGGAATGAATCACTTATTTTCCTTTCACTTAAAACTGGCAAGGCTATGAGCTATGTTTGAAATAGTAGAATATACATGATTGTAATTTATCTATTTATTTTGAGCCCTTGTCCTCTGCCTCTGCCGTGCATTCACCACTTTTAAAAGCCCCACCGCTCTGCGAGTAACCCAAAGAGAACGGTCTCTCTCCCCTGGCCTCGTTGGGTAAATACTCCTTAGTCGCTCAGATCTCTTGTTCTCTCTGTCTGTGTGGGTGAGTGGATACGTGTATGAGTCTTCTTCTTTGCACATGCCCCCCCCTCCTCCCCCCTGCATGCTTTCTCTGTCCTCCCCTCTGTGCAGCTCTCTCTCTCTCTCTCTCCCCCCCTGTGCAGGCCTTCCCCGCTCTGGCTCAGGTCCAGACCTTGCGGCGGGTAAACGAGTGTCTCCTGGCTGAGAACAGAGCGATGCTGCGCGCCCTCGCCCGCCTCTCCGAGACGGCCTCCATGCCGGAGACGGAGGACCTCTGACCCTCTGATGTCACCTGTCCTCCCTCTCCCCTCCACCCCCCCCTCTTCACTTCTCAGACACAACTTCTGCACTCCCTTCTTCTTCTGGTGCCTCGTCCTCTGCTGTGTTCCTCTCAGGCAGGTCCTGCTCACTCCAAATGCTTACCCCCCCCCGCAATGTATCTTCCTCACGCTTTTAACTTGACTTGCTTTATGGCCATCAAAGGTCAACCCCGCTGACCCCTTAACCCCCGCCCCCCCAAAAAAACTTTCACATAAGCCTCCTTTGAAGTGTATTTTTCAGTCACCTCCATGTTGCATGGGGCTTCACATGGCATGACCATGACATGTTTTCTTCTTTTAATCTAAATAGAAGGGTCTATAAGAGCACGCAGAGACATAAAGAATAAACACGTTCATGGCGGCTGTTGATCTTGCCACTTGCCAAACACTGGGGCGCTGTGTAATGTGCTGTGTAATCAATGCAAAGCTGTTTGCCAAGCAAATAGCCGTTCTAGGAGGAAATGAAATGTGTGAGATCATCAGCATTCAAAACGAGTCCTGAGCCACTGTGTGCGTTTCGATTGGTTTAATAGCAGAAATATTAAAGCAGTGCATTACCACGACAAATAGGATTTGTATTACAGGGAATTTGGTATGACAAAAATTGGGTTAAAAAAGGGGCTCTGAAATGGTGATTTGTAACAGCATGTCGCCGTGGGGCTTTTCTCATCCACCAGTTTTTGTTAATGTGTCACAGCTAGAGAGCAGAGGGTTATTGTTTGTCTCTAGCAGAGAGGAAATTCTTTGGCAAAGACGGCGGTTATTTTTAGTCATCGCTCCTCATGAGAGACGTGACCTAGATTTTAGGAATTGACCCTCAGTCTCTCTCTCTCTCTCTGGCTTTGCTCTGTTTCCCTTTTCACATGCGGAACGTGTCGTCAAAGCCACTCCTCACCTGCATGATCGAGTGCCGTGAAGCATGTCCTCATCGTGTGGTGTCAAACGTCACTGAAAGACTACTTTTAGTCCACTTGTTGTTAGTGGCGATTGACGATATCGTGCCGTTGCAGCAGAATAGTGTCAGCGCAACAACTCAAGCTTGAAGTGAACATTTCTACGCGCTGACGACAGTTCTAACATCGTTTCTTTCCTTCTGCGGCCTCAGGTCTTAACAGAGCTCAAGTCAGACAACCAGAGGCTCAAGGACGAGAACGGGGCTCTCATTCGAGTCATCAGCAAACTGTCTAAATGAAAAGATGTCTGACGCTCCTGTTCGCCCCCCCCGACCCCCCCGAAGGCGAAGGTGCCGCCATCCACGGCGCCCCGGGTTGTGACCGTGTCCCCGAGTCACACGCTGTGGGTGAAGAGCTTCAGCGTGTGATGATGGAGTTAAAACACATGTGTCTGCGTGATTAGTTTTTTCCACATTAACCAGATAGGGACCAGCTGTGCCGTTTGAATGACCCGTCGAAGCAGAATTCCCACCGCGGGTTCGCAGGAAGGTGTTTGTAACATTATAACCGCACACCACATTGAGTTTGTTGCTGCATCGACCACTGCGTAAATGTATTTTAATGTTTTCAAAAGAGGAGGGAAGTCAAGGGGCCCGAAAGGCCACTTTGGCATGAAGATCAGATTGTCAAATGATGAATGAGATCAGGGCCGGGCTGTAAGGTCCTAGTATGAACATTCACACCGGCTAAAATGTATTTTGTTTAACATATATCTAAACTGTTGTGTAAAGTAAATTATTTTGAAAATGTTTGCGCTTAATTTAAGATGTTACGTCTTAGTGAGATGCATACTTTGATGTTGTTGCCTGGATTGATAACTTTTACTGGTCATGTGACAACGCCTCTTGAATCACAATTCAACTCCAGCTTCTGTTAAAAATAACCCAAAACGTCCTTTTAGCAAACTAACTGGTTTGTTACATCTTCAAGGATATTTCAATAAAACAATGAACTTTTGTGATCAAGTCCCCACCGCATTTGATACAGTCATCCGACCAAATGGTATGAGTTGCTTTACTGGTTTTACTTTGCATGATTCAGACTACTTGAAAACAGCAGAAAGACTTCGTCATTTCTTCTGTAATACTGATTTATTTATTTATTTAAGTCTTTGCACCATGTGTACTAAATTTGTTTATACGGTACTGAAAGATTTCTCTCTGTCTCTCAAAATCTTCCACTGGTGGAGGCGCTGAGAACCTCGGCCTCCACGACATAGTTTGATTAATAACAATCCCACGTTCTGAGGAGGAACCTGTTTCATTACATGTGCTGTGGACAGATTGCAACGGGTTGAGTTTCTATATTCTCACCATAGATTACCTTTAATTTAAGGGTTTAACTACTGCCTAAATACAGTTGCCATTTTATTACTGCAGGTATACTGTACCTGCAGCCCTGGTCATTGAAGACATTATTACTGGTGCAACTGCATTATAGTAAATTCCACTAAATGTTTGAAAAATGTTAACTGAACGATTAAAACCCAGAAAGAGGCCGCTGCCTGAGTGTCGCTTTATTCACCAGTATCACTGGTTCAAACAGTTTGTCATTCATCATATTCAAGGTATGAACCCTTGTTTGATGTAGTCCGTTCCCAATGTGATGGTTCCATTCTGTAACATCGATGTCATCTTCGATCACATCCAGCAATTCACAAATGAGGCTCATTTGGCATTTTCCACACATGCTGTAGATATAATGGACTAGGTGGAAAACATTTGGGATGTATTGATGCCTAATATGCACACACACCGGTTTACACACTTTGCTTAATAAACTGTAACGGGACGGAGATGTTTCTCAGTGTGACATTAATGTGCTTTGCTTCACAAGGAATCATTAGGGAACACTTTAAGTATTGAACACAAACAACTCGTGGTAATTAAAAGGCCTTTATTTCCTATTTGTTTTTTTACAGAACTGGTAACACATATGATAAATTTGTAATAAGTTATTTGGTTCCCTTGATAACTTTTATAAGGATCCCCAACGTTTGTCCACATAAGGGTCAAGAGGAGTTTGTGAGCAACGTTTGTGTCCAGTCAAGGGCTAAAGCATGCGATCCACAGTAGGCACAAGTACTGACATGAACACGCGCACCACGACACTAGACACGAAGAAACACAGCTAGAGGACACATCCTGACTGTCCCCCGACTCTTTAAAAAGATGATCAAGAGGAGAAAGAGGGGAGAAAGATTTAAAAAAAGAAAAAAAGAAAGAGTCTTGAGAACACAGTTGCATCGGGGGGACGAGAAGGAGGGGGGAGGACGAAGCGCTCGAGAGGAGAGTTTGGTACGGTCCTGCATGTTCGGCAGTATACGGTATATCCATGTAAACATGAAGGCCGGCGTCCTTTGCGCTCAGCGGAAAAAGCAGATTTGAGTGGAGAGAGTCGACGAGCCTGCTTCCCAATCAGCACAAGGAAACTGATGGTACGTAGCTGGTTACACACAAACGGGACAGAGACGCGAACCAAAAAAAAGGAAAAAGCAAACGTGACCCTGGCGTCGGTTCAGACACAGTTTTCCCGCGTTCTACGTTAGAGGGTTACATCACAAAAAAAAAAGAAAAATAAAGACAGATGGTTACACGTGTGCACAAGAATACAAAGAAGAAATACAGCGAGTAATAGAGGAGACAAGACAACACGTTTCAGAGTGGCGTCTCTGCCCGCTGAGATGCGCCGCCACACATTTCCACAGGGCGGTGAATGATCTACTGAACTTTGGATGTTTTCCCTTTTTAAATCCCAGCGTTTGTTGAACAGACAAACAAAACAACAACAACAGCAACAACAACAAAAACAAGCTGGTCCTGCGAACGGCGTTCCAAAACTGTGTCTGCACAGCTGACACGACGCACGGTCTCAGCTGCAGTTGTGCATAAGGTAGTGAACATGGACACAGCTCGGAAACACAGCGGAACAACCCCCGCGTTTAAAGTGGAACTGAAGATTGTTTGAGTATTACGGTCACACGCACAAAGATGTACATCGAAGGATGAGTTATGTGTCCCGTGCATGCAGACCTGTACTGTATCTGGTAGTTATTGATTCTAGTGCTGTGTAATTTGCACCGTGTCTGCTAAAGGGCCAACACGTCGTCTATTTGTACCACAAACACAAGCGCACACAGCTCCCAGTCTCTGGCCCCCATAGAACCCGGATGGCATGTGACTGCAGTGACCCAAGTAAAGTAAAAGGAAACAAATCCCTTAAATGTGCTATAAATTCGACCTGTGATTACGTTTGCCTCATCCTCTGATGTGTTCCGTTTGCTTCTACGTGAGTTATTATTTTGGCTTGTGTAGATTGAAACAGCGAACGCCGGCGACTGTAAGCAGGTACTGGCAGTATTTTGTGAAACACACTGAAATCTTGTATTTGACTTGTTCTCAGTGCATCGTTCGGTCACAATTGGAAACAATAACGGGACAGTTGATAACTATGATATTGCTTTAGACAATGTGCAGCGTTGCACATCACATTTAGGATCGTTGCCAGGACTGATGACTGACGGCAGGTGGATGTTTACTTCAGAGAAAATTCAACATCTGACGTAAACTTAAAGGAAAAGTTCAACATTTTGTGGAAAAAGGCAAACTCGCTTTCTTTTTTGGTTGGAAAAGAAGATTGACACACATTAATCCTTTAAGTATGGAGCTAGAGCCAGGAGATGTTTAGCTTAGCTTAATACAGGCTAGCCAGGCTAGCTGTTTCCAGTCTTTGTGCTAAGCTAAGCTAACCGTCTACGTCCGGCTCCAAAATTAGAGCACAGTTATAAAAGTGGTATCAATCGTCTCCTCTCGCACTGCAAGAAAGCCAACTAGCGTACTTCCCAAAACTTGGAACTGCTCCTTTAATGGCATTTAATGTCGATAACATTATATGTGTTTCCATATTTTCATATACTTTCTGCCATTTGTCTGTGTAAATCATAAATCTATGCATAGTTCTATGGGAGGGATTCAGGCCTAAAACTTGGGTGCCGCTGTTTAAAGTTTCTCTCAGTTTTGCTCTGTGATTGTTGGATATCTAACTACAAGGTTGTGTTGTTTGAGCAACGCGCTAAACAAACCAACGAAAAGGCGCCAGCGTGCTCGCCAGCAGTGTGTTATTGATTGTACTCGTGGTCACTAGTACAGACCGCTGTTCAACCACGAGAAGAGAAACTTGAATAGGGACCCAGTCAGGTTCATTGCACTCAGCCCAAGAAAAGAACACACTCTCTCTCTCTCACTATATATATTTATATATATATTTATATATATTTATATTTATACTTTAACTTTAGCAGTATTATTGAGAACCTATTGTGATTGTATATCTAGTATCCATACTATCAAAACAAGGCATATACGTTACTAATCACAATACTGTAAATTCAGCTACCTCTATGAAACAAGGACGTCAACAGCTTTGAAAGTAGAAAAAGACACACTCACTCTATTAAACTCACAACTGTTCCCAAAGCTCACATATACACAAAAGTGGATTTGGCCCTTTTGATGAACAAAGACCTCTGAACGGAATGTAAAAGAGAAACACTGGCCAAGGAAAATTAAGACATGTCAAGATTTTTTTTTTTTTCATAAATAAACTAGCTACTCAGCGTCAGTGCATGAGTTTTATGGCTTTAGTTTTGTCTTATTCATTTGTCTCGTATACACATACACGTATTGTATAATAAACACAGTAAAAGAGACACAGCCGTGAAAGGTTTCAGGTCATTTAAATACGGTAGAAGTGAAAATATAAACTGAGAGAAGAAGGGATTCCAAGTCATCTGTGTGCACTGGAATGGGATATTTCATCTTTTGGCAACTGGAAATTCATTTCATACAATGATATGATCCAACAGACTTGACTACTGGCACAGAAAACAACTCCCACAATCCACCTACAGATTGCAGGAATATTCAATCTCCATCTAACAAGTTATTCCAGAATAACACCGCACTAAATGCGTTTGAAAAAAAGTCATATTATAGACTTGGAGACCCCCCCCCGGCCCAAACATATAAAAAACTAAAACATATTTCTTAGCAAGACAAAGAAAGAAAAAAAAGCAACAGCGTTAAAATTCAGTAACACATTGGCCTTCGAAACAACTTGGCATAAAAATGGCATCAAATTAAAGTTTTGATCACAAGGAAGTATATAGCAAGCATGCGGCTACATTTTCATCCTACATGAACTCACACACAGTACTGGACGACACACTTGCTTAAGATTTTCAGGCGTGGAAAGGTTTGTTATTAGTAATAGTACTCTAATATTTGTATGACATTCTCTCCAAAGACCCTCGTTGAAAAAAAAAAATACACATTTGTTTCATTTAGAAAATATACAGTGCGTCTTTTTTTTCCCTTTCGTTTGTGTTATTAAAATGACAAATGACATCCACTTACGTACACGAGATATTTTTGCTTTGTCTCTAAAACATGCGGCTATGTACAGTATTTTGTATAAACATGCAGTATCAACGTGTATGAACTATGTATATAGGCAAAACTACACACCAATGGGTTGTTTGATTGCTTCCATGTCGCCTTTTCTTTAGTGCTGCTTCATCAACGGAGGAAACGATATCATGTGAGAAGAAAGACGGAAAAATCTGAACATGGTCTACGTTGGTTATAAAAAATAAGAATTCACAATTTCCAACAGAGAAAGATACAAGAGCCAACATTCATTAAATTCCCCAAGCATTGTAGTACTGTCTACATTTGATTTACATTGACTTTGCAGCCAATGAGTAGTTGTGGCTGTTGATTTAAATCAAATTAGGGTCAAACAAGCGGTTTGGATTTCATCAGAGGTACAAGTTTGACCTCACCATCCCTCTTTGATTATAATTTAGAAATACACTGAGCCAATTCCATTCTGCGGAGGAGACAGGGAGCATTAGATGGTCACGCGACGAGGGCTTCTTTCCGCTGTACCACGTGTGCCACACGACAAATCCAATCGCACAACACATTTCATAACTAACCAACGAAATCTACGTGGATCGAAGAACAGTGTCAAATTACCACAGAACAGAATAATACCCAGTAGTGCAATTAAATTCAACAGTTTGGTAAGCTGCGTGTGAAGTACACGCGGATCGCCGCCTTCTTCCAGACCATGACCTTGCAATCAAGTGAGAATCGTAATATTCAAACAATCAAAACACATTCACAAAAAGCTGAGCCCAAACAAAGCAACAACAGAAAACGGATTACATAATGCGCTTCCTTCTTAAAACCAGCTGTTATTAACAACATAAACAATTAAAGCTCTGGTTTCCGAGGGAACTTAAACACAACATTTGGATTTAAAGTGCACAAGGAATAAAAGTAATTGAAAGTGAAATAAAATGAAACTGGAAAAACAAAAGAAGCGAGAAATGAAGAGAACAACACCGCTAACTGGAAGGCGTCCCTGGTAGTTGAAAATTGCTTATTTTGTTACTTTGAAGGCTTGTCTCCTTTATGACTGTAAGACGGTTATAGGGATTCCTTTGGAGTAAAACCCTTGTATCAAGTCCATGACTGATGGCAGTAGCACAACAAGTGAGATACAGAATCGGCGGCGCTGGGAGGGGAGGTGGTAGACTGCGGGCAGTAATCGACACCTTGTAAAGATCATGCCATTGGTGGTTGGAATCAGTCTCTGTTGTAACCGCTCTGATATTTCCTTGCTTTTCGTTCTAACGACACCCACCGCCACCTTACACTGTCACAAAATATGAAAATAACCCTCCTTCTGTTGTTTTTTTTTAAACCAAAAACCCACCGCTCCCTGTTCCCTAACGTAGCATCTCACGGATCCACTAACACCAGCCTTATGTTTACCGGGGGAAAAAAAACACAAAACAAGCGCTCAAGCTTTTCAATCCAATGTTTCCTTTTCATCATGTGGAGTGTTTGAATAATGAGAACCCGTTTAGAAAAAAAGGCATGGAGTTTCAGTTTCCTCTCAGTTTTCCTGAGACGATGGGCGGAAGGTCAACTAATCAAAAAAGGCAGTGTGTTTGTGGGTAACTGGACGTGTGCCTTTCCCTACTCGCTACCCAACTCTAGGAATGTACTTCAAACCAACAGAATCACCTAGTATGACAACTGGCAGGTGTGGAACACGGTGCACAATACACCTAAGGAATGGACCTGCTTGTGTTATTTCTCTATCATATGGCAGTATAAAGCATTTTATTATTAAGCACTACTCTAAGCAAACCGTGTCACTAAAGGGAAGGGCTGAGAAGTACAACGTGAGTGAGTGCATGTCTTATCCCCTCGATCACCAGATTCCCACATAGCACTCCTACTGGCGTTCGCAGTCTACTCTGTATTCTTATTAATGGAACCACAACCCCAATACAAAAATAGATCTAAAGGAAATCAACGGAGTATCTGTCCATCCAGTAACTTGTCTTCTTTTTTCAATGACATGACTTCATTTACCATGATGCTCTTTTTTTTTTTTTTTTAAACTATATTTCCCATCATGTTCGGTGATATCGATGGATCTTTTCAAAAGAGGAGGAGGAGGAGGTGGTGGTTGGGTGGGTGGGTGGGTGGGTGGGTGGTGTCGGAGGGGAGCGGATGTACAGCTGGGGGCGTTCTTCTGGAATATACACTCATATGTGGGACCTGGGGACATGATGGGGAATGCATGGGTGGGTAAGGTGGAGGTGGGGACAATGTGTTCGGGTGGAGGGGGTTTACTTCTTGGCATTCAGCGCTGCGAGGGCGGCATCCACCTCCTCCTCGGGCTGCAGCGGATGCCACTGGGCGATGGGGCGACGGGGGTTGGCCAGCATGTCGGACCAGTGTTTCAGCCCGGCCCCTGTGCTCTTGCTTCCCACCAAGATCTTGCCGATGGCGTCGTTCTTGCCAATCTTGTCATAATCCAGCACCGTGATCACAGCTAGGATTTTCTGGGAGAGAAAGCAGCACAAAAAGGTTCAGGGCGCCGCGGCGACCACACGCAGATGAGGGCCGAGAGAACGTTTTGCTCAAATACTATAATAATTCATTTCGGATGAATCGCTGGGCGTTTTGTCAAAGGACAACGAGGGTCCTGCTTACTTTCGTCTTCATACAACTATGTTTTTTTTACATCCATTCGTTGATAAAATATGCTCGACAGGAGCGAGAGAGATCCCGATGGTGAAGCCGTACAGAGCCAGTCGGCCACAGTACAGCATCTACTGTAGGCATGGCAACGAACCACAGCCACCGTGGCCACACGTGTCTATTATCAGGTTATTGACCAGCAATATCTGCTAACATATTGTTCCTAACAGACCAAATAAGGCTGTGGCAGGAAAGGTCACGTAACTAAATGTTATTGCTTTTGTATTCCCAAATCGACCAATCAAACGCTGATGTGATGAAGTGAAATTGGTGGAATTTAGGGGTGTGTTCCATCCCTAGGAGGGTTTATTTGTGTCCATATAACGGCCTGATGGTGGATTGCTTGGTAGGGCTCAGTGGTGCTGATCTGGGTACACGTTTGCCTTCTTACAGTAATTAGTAAGCACTTTTATTCTTTCTGCGGTACTCTTTCTAGCCCTGCTAGCCGCTAAAGGATTTTAACAAGAGAGTCCATGTGCTTACCTGCATTTGATCAATAGGAATCTCAAAGCTGAAAGACTCATTATAGTACGGATTCAAAGTGTTCTTCTTCACTGTCGTCTTCTTCTTCTTCAGCCTCTTGCCATTCTGCAGCAGGTTAATTTTCACGTAGGGATCTGAAGCAAAAAGAAGGCAAAAAATCATGATAAAGCGAATGACAGAATCCTCCCTGCACGTGCTTGTTTGGGTTGCAGTGCTGCCGTGCACCAACAGATGGGGCCAATGCTGAAGCCAAGGGGGAGCCAGGGCTGCTGCATGGCGAGCACTGCAGCGTCAGCACGTGAGCAGAGCAGCGACGACCTAATGGCCGCGCTCACAGGCGCCCTCCCGCTTCCGCCGCGGCCCCACTGCGAGCGTCCAAACGCGCTGCCGTCGGATCGCTCGCCGCGGAGGCAGCGTCGAGCGCGGTGGTGGAGGAGAGGAAACGCGCGGCGCTCAGCTGCGTGCGTTTACCTGACAGTCCTCCCACGTCCATTTTCTTCAGGTTCTTGGCCTCCAGAATACAGATGGTGAGTTTGCCAGCGGTGGGGACGTAACGCAGGGAGATGCAAATGTCACCCAGCTTCTCCGGCTGTGAAGAGGAGGGGTGGGTGGAAAGTTAAAGGAGGACTGAGGCGGGAGGGAGGGGGGGGTGGGTGAGATATCACCGCACAAATACACAAACTGTCCCTTCGGAATCCCAATTTAGAGACACAATGTCAATATAAATAAAAACTGCTGCGGTGGTCTTATCAGCAAAAATTAGCGGTATTCTTAAGTACATCTCGTGGGTCTTTTCAGAGTTAATAAATATATCAGTGACCCCAAGCAAACAGAGGGATTATTTCATGTTACGGTGGCTCTGGGGGGAGGGGGGGTCAATTTATTAAAACCTGTTTTTCATATTCTGCTGCGGCACACTGGTGGAAACACATCACAGGCTGCAGATGGAGGAGTGCAGCTGATTAGGAGGACGAGTAGTGTGTCCTTCAGCCCTCTGACTCTCATTGGCGAACAGACCAAGTGGCCCCCTTGTGCCTTAGGTTATTTTTGTATCATGTCATCAGCTAACTAGGATGGTCATGCTGCTCTGTATATTTATATAAAATAGTGTTTTTTTGCTGAGAGTCAGAATTGTTTCAATATGTATTTTACTAATATGTTATTTGCAAAGACAACCAGGAGACTTCTATTGGCTGCTATTAGATATTAGAGTCACTATTTACACATCCAGCAGTTGCAGGGCAACATTATCGTTCATTTGGAGTCTTGTTGACGGCCATCTGGTGAATAGAAGTCATATTCACCCTCTTGTGATCTTCTTCAACTCCCGAGGAAAATCTGGCTCCCAATTAGCTGTTAAATAATTGATTACGTTCGCCAGCTAGTTGCTGTCTGTCTGTCGTCTGGTGCTGAGCAGGAAGTGTACAGCCGTTTGTTTTAAGAGCTCGTTTGTCTGACAACAGCTGCCTGCTGCGGCTGAAATTTTAAAAAGCGGCGATGGGAACTGCGGACCCAACAGCCAAATAACCAACAGGAACTGATTATAAAGCTCTGTGAAGTAGCGGGGTGCAGCAGTTCTGGATTCATCACTGGGAGGTTAGGAGTGAAACTCTTAATGATCAGTCAGTCCGTGCTGGTGTTGGCCTAAACAATCTAAAAAGCACATGCAACTCTCCAACACCAGTGGAAGAAAATGGACTCAAACACGACTCTCACCTCTTCTTGATCCGCGCTGTCCAGGTCCTTCCACTCCTCAATTGGCTTTGCCAGGTCCAGGGTGTTCATGGGTATTTTAATCTCTCCGATGACATCGTGTTTAGAGAAGCGATCAAAGTCATAGACTGACATCACCAGAGTCTTTCCTCCCATCTCTTGGAATGGAATCTGGAGGACAGAGAGTAAATCCCATCAGTTACCTGGAATGGTTCCTTCTCCTCGCAGCGTGGGATCAGAACCCGACTGCATTATGGGGTCGTGACTTTGGCTTTGCTGAATAACATGCCGCTCCAGCAGAAGTAGCGCGGCTCGTTGGAATCGTTTTCTACGGGGCTGTGCCAGCAGGCGAGCTGCACCAGAGGTGGCCCTCTCCTTTAATTCGATTCCCCACCACGTTCTCCTTGTCGGACTCCTTGAATGCGTCTGATGGTCAGAGGTACTTAAGAAAAAGAACTCCGAATCAAAGCCCCTTCAAGAGACAGAAGGACGATCCACCTTCCAGGACCCGAAGTACACATCAAACCACTCGACGTGCATGTTGTTTTAATAAGTAATAAGAGAAGTGGGGGGGGGGGGGGCCAGGAGCTTCAGCTCTACCCTGCAGAGAAATGGCTCCGTTGAAGGTGAGATAGAGCGTTTTCTTGTGGACCCTTTGGGTCGT